CAGAAGTCATTGTAGAATATGTGCGGTCCTTTGGTGATCCTGAAACCCCCAAAAAAACATGTCTTTCAGTTTTGTATGTAAGGCTATCCCATACTGTTCTAGTTTACTTTCTGTCTCTGTGACAGACACATGACAGAAAGCAGAGGAAAGGATTTCTTTGGCCTATGCTTCCAGGTCACAGTCCATCACTGAGGGAAATCAGGTCAGGAACCATGCAGGAACTTGAAGTAGAAACAACGGGAGAATACAGCTTGCTGACTCACTTGCAAGCCTCATGCTTAGCTAACTTGATTACACAGCTCAGGACCATCTGCCCCGTAGGGTGGGCCCTTCTATGTCAATTAACAATTAAGAGAACTGCCCACAGGCACACCTACAGGCCAATCTGACCTGTCCCTCAGGTGAAGGCAGTCCCTCAACTGAGACTCCCTTCTCAGTGACTCTAGCCTGTTTCAAGTTGACAGCTAAAGCTAACACATCAGTTTCACAATATCAGCGCATGTCATGGGGGCAGGGGGATCCTGCAATTCTGACAACAGGAGTATTGTCAATAGCTAAACACTAATTCGGTCTGTTATCTCTTAATTCTTGTTTCATAAATTTTAATATTCAAGCAACTTTGATTAATTTACAATTATAAGACTTTTTACAATTGGTTTCTAGTATGACATGAAATATGTTCAACAAGGCAAGATAAGGCATCTAAAATCCAATGCCTCACATACTATGCAGTGGGTATTGGGTATAGTATTTAATTCTCCCAATAATGTGAGCAGTATTTACTAAGGTTATGTTAGTAAGCATCATCCCTCTCTTCTTCCATATCAATCACTTGGTGCTAAATTCAGGGGCTGCCTGCTTCTAGCATCCTCACCTCCACAGAGGCATGTCACGGTTAGCCACTGAAGCTGAATAAGGGAAGCCTTCCTGAAACACTGCCTTAGAAGCTCATGGAAGTGCTTGCTGGAAACCGCCTTGCTGGGTCACTAGGCAGGTGCTATCCCTCATATAATTTTTAATTATATGTATGTGTAGGTATATGCATTTAAGTGCAGGTGCTTACAGAGACCAGAGTCATTGAATCTCCCAGGAACTGAAGCTACAGGTGAGTGTGAGCTGTCCAGCATGGGTGCTAGAAACCAAACTCAGGCCCACTTAGTATGTACACTTAACTGCTCTGCAATCTCTTAAGCCATCACATTATTCTTTTTTTTTTTTTTTTTTTTTTTTTTTTTTTTTTGGTTTTTTCGAGACAGGGTTTCTCTGTGTAGCTTTGCGCCTTTCCTGGGACTCACTTGGTAGCCCAGGCTGGCCTCGAACTCACAGAGATCCGCCTGGCTCTGCCTCCCGAGTGCTGGGATTAAAGGCATGCGCCACCATCGCCCGGCCACATTATTCTTAAGTAAATTCATCAGCTCCCATGACTGTAATGCCCCTATCAGTAGTTTTCAGAAGGTGGCTCTTGGGTCTGAAGTGGTAGAATTAGCAGAGAATTGTTTAGAGATATTAATGTTTAGGTCCTCCTACATCTAAGGACTCTTGAGTCTGTGGGTAGGACTATTAATCAATGCCTTGCCAATCTTCCTTCACAAGAGTTTCTGATGAACTCTGAAATTTGAAAGTTTTAAGTCTAGATTAATATTTCTCATAATGTAGGTCATTAAATAAATCCAATTATAACCAGCACATAAAAACCAAAAAAAGGTATAGAAAAATAACAAAATTCATCACATTGTAAAGTAGTATTTGTGTAACTTTTGTCTCAAATATACATGCATATTTCTACACATGCATCTGTACTGGTTATCATGGTTTAGACATTGCATGTCCCTCAAAATCTCATTTGTTAGGGCTGGAGAAATAGCTCAGTAGTTAAGAGCACTTGCTGCTTTTGCAGAGGACCCATGTTCAGATCCCTGCACCCACATGCTGGCTCATTAACATTTCTAGGGGATCCAAGACCCTCTTCTGAATTCTGTGGACATCAGGCATGTATAGGTGTGGTACATACATTCAAAAACATAAAATTAAATAAATAAATCTAAAAACCAAAAGTCTCATTTGTTAAAGGCATGGCAGCCAGTCTATGGCCTGTTGGGAGGCTCTCTCTACAGTCTAGGTGGGAGCTAAAGTCAGGTGCTGAGGGTGTGCTCATAAAGGATACTGGAACTCAGGCTCTCCTCTTTCTCTTATTCCACACCCCTCAGGTGTCTCATTTCCTCGCCCTCTCCTCCCGCTCTTCTATGCTTTACGATTTGACCAAATCTTGAGTCACATGTTCCTAACTGATGTGCTACACAGGCACGGGCTCAGATCCACAGGGTGAAGCGACCTCATCAGAAAAGAAGCCTTTTCCTCTTAGAAGGTGACTTTCTCGGTGTTTTCTCACAGGGATGGACAGCTGACAAAGTTAAGAGGTTGTTGAAGGGCAGGGCTTCAGTTATTTTCAACTATCTGAAGACTGCATGAGCCACACTTAACTCCATGTCACAAGGGTCCTGTCTTAGTCTCTGAACCATTCTACTTCACATGGTCTTGTACAATGCACTGACTTTTCTCATACTACCTTTTGTATTTTATCTTCTCTTTCATTTTTACTTCCACTGTATTTTACTCATTGCCAATCACTATTAAAGTAGCTTATTATTTGTCACTTTTCTCCTTCATTAGAACACTAGCTCATAACAAAACACTCCCGGCTACTTTCCCACTACACCTCAATAATATCCACCCATGCGTAACATCCATCCAACAAACCTTACCTACATGAACTCCAGAACTAACTAACAAGCAGTTAGTGGGCTCTGCAGTCCTGAATCTCACGTCTGCGATCTTTCTTATAAGTCAGCACTGTCTTGTGAAGCAACAGTTGAATGTGAACCATGTACTTCCTGCACAGACCTTGGGAACTGTTATGGAATGTATTTCATAAAATGCAAACAACTGAGGCCTGGGACAGTAAAACTGAGGTAAACAGTAACCTGACTGACTTGTAGTTTAGGCCAAGTGAGTAAAATATTAAATCTGTAAGAGTTACAGAATAAAGAAAACTCCTGAGGTCTATTCTAAAGGGAGTGCAGGATACCAGTGGCTTAGGCTGTCAGGAGGTGTGTGAGCTATTCAGCATTTCTGGAGGTTAACAGTGAAATCAATTGTGTAAGATGAGAAGGGCGTAAACACTGAGAATGAAAAACATCACAGACAAAAGAAATGGAGAGAAGAGTCTTAGATACACGGATATGGATTTGCTGGAGAAACCATGAAATAAACGTTCCTGTAGTTAAGAGAAATTACAAATCCTTCAACACTTAGTGTAAACCGGGATCCTTCCTGTCCTCACTGATGTGTGCAAATGGGTGTGTGCACACATGACTTGGGGAGGACGCTGCTGTTCCTCAAATCTTACGGCATGAAAGTGGAGTGAGAAGTCCACACCACTTAGTTCCTTTGTCTGGACTGTAAGGCATTTTAAGCAGCAGTGAAACTCTACACAGTGCCTGGGTGGGAACCCCATTCCTACCATTTATTAACTGTATGACTTCGACACATTCCTTTATGTCTTTAAACCCCAGTTTCTCTGCTCTATGATGAAAATTGTCACAGCTATCACACTGCTGCCATATAAGTCATGCCTCAGAAAGATGCCTGGCACATGGTAACCAGAGTACTTACCAGGCACTGCTCTCTAAATGCTTTTCTGCCTGTTACAACAGTCCTACGAAGCAGAGGACTATAGGGCATCCATGCCCACTGATAAGCAAACGAGAGCCACAGATGGGTTAGAATCGGCACTCTAAGTAGCTGCCTTACTATCTGTATGATAACAAGAGAGTGAGCTCACGCTTGTCAGCGCCCAGAACGAGTGCTTCTCCGCCACTGTGTGCTCTCTCCCAAACCTTCATATACTCCGTTATGCTGGTGACTCCACCAAGGGAAAAGGGGTTGTTTATTCATTTCACAGCTGATACTGTTTCTACACAGTGGATCACATCAATCAGGCTTTGTTTACTAGTGAAAATGAAGCAAGACAAAGAACTCTACAGCGTATACATCCTACTTTCATAACGCTAACTTGATCAGTTACATTTTTATATGTCATTTCTATTTATTCCTGCTTATATGACCAGCAACAGGAAGAGCAAAGCCCTTTGGAGACCGCCCTGTGGCTCAGTGAAGCCTGTTTACGTCGTTCAGCCTCACTATCACCACACAAAACACTGACCACTCTTAAGAAGAGGCCACACTTAAGGCCACATTCTAAAAACTGCCAGAGCCTACTTTCAACTCTCAATTTTTATATAAAATTACTTTTCTCTATTATGGTAGGGAACATTTTTAAAGTAAGATGCAATGTGTAATTTCAAAGGACACAAAATTCATCCTTGGAAATGTTGGTCAATAGCTTCTTGTACATTTACAAATTGCACAGCACTGTCACTATCTACTTTTTATCCCACAAAAGAAAGTGTATATATGGCAACCAAGCTTAATTGTACATACTGTACACGCAAAAGAAAAGTGGCTTCTTTAAATAGAGCCTCTAGTAAACCTCTGCCAAATGTATAGTTGGTTCAACTATTGCACAATGAAATCATGAAACAGATTCCCAATGCCTCCCCATGACACGATGAGTCTCTGTGCTTCCACACAGCATGTCAGCATTCTCTTCAAGGACAGCAATCAAGTACTGGCACCCATGCCCAATTTACATTATTAGGATTAGAACCCCAACTTCCAGGACTTAGCATTTTTGTTTCACAATTAATTAGTAAAATTAAAGCATTGTGCAACTTGGCTTTCATAAGTATCCTTTGTTAATTTCAAATAGAAAAGCATAGTAAATAATAGCCACAGGAGATTTGAAGATAAAAACTTTATTTTTAACACTTGCTCATGCACATTTCTGAAAACCTACAGTCCTATATTTGTGATTCACAATAGGTATGACAACATAATTTAATAAATTTTGAATCGACCCTAAATAATGCAAAGGAACTCACTGTCGGTCAGGGCACATTCTTCCTCGCTTTCCTCACTGTCCACAGATGGAGCTCTGTAAGGGGGAGGCAGTTTCATTGGAGGTGGAGCTGTTCCATGCCTCTGAAGATGCAAAATTCAAGAAATGGGTTAATAATTTTCATACAATTCTCTTCTTCAGTGACAAAAAGTACACACACACACACACACACACACACACACGCACGCACACACAAATAATCTGAAAATAGTCTGGTTGCAGCTGACTTTGACCATTTATTCTACAAGGACTGTAGAATAAATATAATTTATTTCCTCTAGTTCCTGTGATTTTATAAAAGTAATTTTATATAACTACAGCAATGCAACAAATAGAAATTCAAAAGCACAGCTTGGAAGAACACTGCCCTGCTTAGAACACACTTCTTTCCCCATGAAAAAGCAAGCCATGTACATTCTCTTTAGAGTTTGTAGATGATCATACACATTTAATGTTAAAAGGGAGGTGGTTATAATGAATAATTATTTCTGAATAAGGATACTCTAAATTTATATAGCAAATAACATAGAACAACAATGTGACTCATGTAAATAAAGTGAAACAAAATTCTATTGCTAAATTACCTTCACAGAATGAAGACGTATTCTTGAACGTGAGAAAAAATAAAACATGCCAAACTTTCCAGAGATGCCAGCTACTGCAGAGTAGGAGCTGAGATGCCCAAGCCCTTCACAGCACCCAAATGAGTAGATTAGGATCTGCCTTCCTATATGACTTCACTAAAGTGCATTCAATTATGCTTTATCTGACAAAACCACTAATGCAAGGTATACCTCTGTTGAGTGGACACTGGCCCATTATAACAAGACAAATAGTGAATTCCTCCAGAATAGAAGGAACTCTCTGGGATTCATAAAAGAAAGCACTCCCAAATTCTTTGAGTATAATGTTAATGAAATCAGTGATTATATGTGTGGAAAATACAAAATATTAAAATGTAAAAGTAATGAAGAGAAGTCAAATGTGAAACATTTATTAAGAAACAAGTGAGGGGGCTGGAGAGATGGCTCAGTGGTTAAGAGCACTGGCTGCTCTTCCAGAGGACCAGGGTTCAATTCCCAGCACACACATGGCAGCTCACAACTGTCTGTAACTCCAGTTCCAGGAGATCTGACACCTTTACACCAATGCTCATAAAATAAAGTTAAAAAATTTAAAATTTTTAATAAAAAAAAGAAACAAGTGAGAATGTGACAGCTATAGTCTTCAAGTTGAAAAAAGGTGATTGAAATGAAAAGTCAAAATCAAGTGACACCGCCCGCCCACCCAGCGCCAAAAACACCCCTTCTTTTCTCAGAACCACATCATCCAACGTCAAAGATGATCCTTCAAACAAGGGCAGGGGCTGAAAGTGCTATTGAGAGCTAAGAATTCCAGCTTATTTGATTGCATTCAACACTCTTGAGAGAAGAACACATGTAAGCACATCCTAACCCAGGCTGGCCTGGAACCCACCATCTCTCAGCTTAACTTTCGAGTACAGGGATTAAGATGCGCACCACACCCAGTCCCCCAGGCACCCTCCTGCTGCACATTAAAGAAAAGTGTACACATGACCAAACCCTCCAGTGATGGAGAAGGCTGGAGCTCCCAATGCTGAAGAAGGCCAGGAATGACAACACCATCAAGAAAGAGAACAAGACACACTGAATGGTACCTTCTGCTTTACTCCCAGGCACATGGTGACCTCCCTAAGTATTTGCTGGTTGTCTAAATAACTGCCTTTATTCATGCTGTTGCCTGAGAGATAAACTTTCAGAAAATGACAGTGATGGAAGCAATTCTTTTTGTTTTTGGAGACACAGTCCAACATGCTACAGCCCAGGCAGGCCTCTCATTCTGTATGTAGCCAAGGATGACCCTGAACTCCACCTCCCAAGTTCCAGGATTTCAAGCATGTGCACCCTAACTACTGCAAATGATTCTCACTTGACAGCAGTGAGTATTGATTTTATGCGGCAGAGAGGCAAATGGTTTGTTTTATGAAAGACAGCACCAAAGTTACAGCTTTCTTGACCTGTAAGGCATGGACTAACTTTGTATCTAAGCTTGACTACTTAATTCTCTTCTATTTCCTGCACCAGGCTTACCACCTCTTACTGCTCTCACTAGTGAGTTAAATAAATATTTGGCACCTGCACATTTTGCATAGTTTTCTGAACACTGTCTAAATTTTTTTTTAATTATACACTGACAGTTTTGGAAGTCCCACTGAGACGCTCAAGGAGACCCACCTTCCAGAACTAACTAAACAGAGATGCCTTGGATATGCAATTCGTGAGCTGTTTAAACCCATTTACTTAATTTTTTTTTTTTTTTTTTTTTTTTTTTGGTGGCTCACATAGTAAATTCTGAGAGACAGAACTCCATCACTTTTTCCTATTTCTTTGTGGTTTATTTCCAATTCTGTGTGTGTGCTTTTGGTACTAGGTTAAGTCTGATCTGCTACTCACTTGGGCTGTAACTTAGCAGCAGCAGTAATGAATGGAGTCTGGTTTTTGTTCTCGCCATTGGGTGGCATTTATCGGGGAGGACAAGGCCCTCCAAGCTGGCATTATGGGGATCTGCCATCCACTGGTTGATAATAGACAACGTGGCTATTAGTTTCTTGTTTGATTTCATGCTAAAGAAACAGTTCTCTGACAAACAGACAGGTGGTTTGCATTTCTGTGTTTGCACAGAACATAGGGCTACTCAGTGAGGACAGCAGCTAGAAGCTGAGTCTCTGGAGGAAAGTTCTTGCTGCTCATTTTCAATGTGTTTTAACAAGGCCTAACAGTCCCGAAAGTGAAAACAAAAAATAACCCTTTTCTCATTAGTTTACAAACTGGTATTATTTAACCACTATCTCAGAACCTTTATAAGAATCTAATCACACACACAAGAGTGTGTATGTGGAGATGTTAGGGGCCTGTGCACTTGAGCTCAGGAGTTGTGGAGGCCAGAAGCGTGGGATCCTCCAGGTGCTCTAGTTATAGACAGCTCTGAGTGGTCAGACATGGGTGCTGGGAACTGAACTCAGCTCTCCTACAGTAGCTCTACTTAATCCCGGAGAAACGTTTTTATGTGAGAATCCAGATTCAAAGACATGTGTGCTAGACACTCCTATAATCTTAGCATTGGGAGATAGAGGTAGAAGGATCAAGGCCTCTCTGAGCTAGATAGTGAATTCAAAGACAGCCTAGACTACACAAGACCCTCTCAGAAAAAGAAGAGCAAGCAAGCAAACAAAAAAAATACAAATCAAGATTCACATGATCAAAGTGACTTGAGAATTCTCTCAACAAATTCCAAAACAGTAATATTATACAAACAGCAATCTGATTATAAACTGAAATAAGTTAGAAAGCAATACAGTCTCACAAGCAAAATGCAGCATTTCTAGGGGGAAAAAAATCAAGGCTTTATACTTTTCTGGATTATGAATATCAATGAACAGAAATAATTTCATAGAGAGAAAAATATACTAGGCAACTAAAAAGTGAGATGTGGAAAAACAAACAAACAAACAAACAAACCACTCCACTGGAACACAAGATTGACTGCCCGGCAACAGTAACTGAGGAGCAGAGCATGTAGGGATAGACAGGCTGATTGAAGGGCAAGCTCAGAAGCATGGCCTCCTCCCACAGCACCAGCCAGGACAGACTTGCACTATAAATCCTATTTTGCCCACCAAGTCCTATTTTAAAATAATGAGCCAATTGCCTTGATGGGGTAAAAAATGAAGACTCATCCTACCTGATACCATACCCTAAGATAATTTTTAGGTCAATAAATTCTATTAGAACAAATGCAGGAAAACAAAATAGGTGATTAATTCTAACTGATTATGAAAGCAATTTTTTCCCAGTAGAGATAAATTTTGATGTGAATCTTCTTAGGGAAAAGCAATATATAAATGAAAACTTTCAATTGTGAGCAGCATGCTCTGGGAATGGCTAGCCAGTCTGCAGAACCAAACAGGAAAGAGAGCCACAGATGTCCGTGACTGTCTTCACGGGCCACTTGACCTATGCTTCACCTGGTCCCTGCTTCATCCTGTCAAGAACCAGGTTCATACCCAGCAGAAATCCACAGGACACCTGGCCGATCTCACCCACCACTGTTCAGCTAGGCACAAAGAAACCAAAGCAGTCCTCAGAAGCTGGAGAGGCTTGGCTTACCTTTGCTCTTCTTTCTTGAATGTCTTGATCCTGGTTCCTGGCAGGTGACTTGCCTTTGTTATGCACACTTGGGATGACCTACCACCACCAAAGAAAGGGGGGAAGAAGGAAGGATGAGCAAGCTCAAATGTCTTTTTCTAAACTTGGTGTGATGGTGCACACCCATAATCCTAGCACTTGTGAGGCTGTGAACGACACAGTGAGTTCAAGGCTAGCTTGGGAGACACAATGTTTTAAAAGAAAACAAAAAGTGTGAATGACTTTAATCCAGCACTCCAAAGGCGGAGGCATAAGGATCTATTTGAGTAAGTTCCAGGCCAACCAGGGCTACATACAGAGTGTGTGTGTGTGTGTGTGTGTGGGGGGGGGGGGGGGGGATGTCCCCTTCTCTTCCCACCTTCCTGATTAGTGTGGTACAGGTGACTTTTCTCTCTGTGCAGCTCAGGTTGGTCTAGAATTTGCTGTGTACATCATCTTCTCAGTTGAGGATAACAGGTGAGGGCTGTGGCGGTGGGGGCCATGCACTGGGCTTTGATACATTCCTTTTTGTCTGTTTATTAATCAGTGCCGTGGCTCATGCCATGCTTGGCACTGAGCAATCTCCAGCCTTTGTTTCTGTGTTTTTAAACAGTAAAGACTTAATGAACCTAGTGACTTCATCTCAAGGTAAATATATGAGAAGTTCAATTCAAGGCAATCAGTAAAAGTAGGTAAAGTGGGGAAAATATGCATTATAAAATCATGTCACCAGAACAAATACATTAAAGATTTGTGTGTAAGGTGAAGATAGAGAAAACTACAAAGTTAGACCACTGTCATTTAAACATCTCATCTGTAAAGGAAATTTCAGTGGTGACTTAAGTGAGATGCTAGAATATAGGCATCCTCATTTATTTGACTTCGGAACTCCCAGCAGAAATATGTTATTTAGCAGATATCATGGATTGATAATATCTAACTATCACTGTTACCAGAAGGATAAATTACAAATTTATTCCTACTATCCAATGAGAGAAGGAATTGGATGATATTTTTTGTAATTTCTGTAGTGGGCATATGGGGTCTGATACATAGTTGCATTCAGTAAGTATTTATAAATGAATGAAGTTTAAGGTTTTTTTTTAAATTTTATATATTTATTCTATTTTTTATTGTATGAATGTTTTTGCCTGCATGTATGTCTGTTTGCTATATGTGTGCCTGGTCTCCATGGAGGTCAGAAGAGGGCACCAGATCCTCTGGAAAAGGAATTACAGGCAGCAGGCATACAGGAATTACCACTGTATGGACACTGGGAATTGTACCCAGGTCCTATGCAAGAGTACCCAGTTTCTTAACCACTGAGCCATCTCTCTAGCCCATGAAGATCAATTTTATAAAAACAATTTTAATTCTTACTGATGCTGATAGCATAGCTTTCTTATTTTGTTTGTTTGGTTTTTTTTTTTTTTTTTTTTTGAGACTGGACCTCACTCATTACTCCAGGGCTACTTAGAACTCTGTGTAGCCCAAGCTGGCCTCCAGTGTGTTGGCGAACTACCATGCTCAGCTAAAGGCAAACCTAGGAGCTGGCTTGTCCTGCTGGCTCTCCCTCTGCAGCAGCTGTCTCTGGCATGTGGCTGCTACTTCCCAAATAATGTCTCTTTGGAATGCTATCTACGAGACACCTTAGGAAAATATAGTAATTTTAGTGATTTTTTCCTAGTCCTAGAGATTGAATCCAGAGCCAAGTTAGACACTCTACTCCTAAGCTATGCTCCTCTCCATTAGTAATGTCTGGAGACACTTCAAATTGCCAACAGAAATAATTTTCCGCATAAAACCTAGTGGCTGACATGAAAGTAGGGAAAAAAAGCCCTTTTTCAGAAAATTAAAGGAACTGCCTGTCTAGAGAATATTAAAAACAAAACAAAAATTAAACCACTTTGATCTAAATGCAATTTAAAATGAAATTCTATTCACTTTTACTATAACAAGTTAAGAATTAGTAAGGTCTTAGAAATGTTTCACCTCAATAAAAGCAACTGTACTAAGTTCTTCAAAAGACCTACTTTTATTCATATGTGTATGTGTGCATTCGTGTCCATGTGCACTTGTGTCCACGTGTCTGTGTCACCATGTATATGTGTGTGCGTGTCTGTCCCCTCAAAGGCTAGAAGAGGGTGTTCCAGGCAGTTGTGAGCTGCCCACCATGGGAACTAGGAACCAAACCTAGGTCCTCTGCAAGAGCAGCAAGTGCTCCCGGCCTCTCTCCAGCTCCAGCGATAACGTCTTAACGTCCAGCCAGAGCTTCCGCAGGAGCATTGTGCTCTGTGCCTCTGTCTTCCTCACATACACTAACAATCTGCTGGAGTACAAGGTCACAGGCTCTGGGCAGGTGAGTCTTGCCAGGATCCAGAAACAGAGCAATTGGGGTCTACTTCTGCCCATGACAAAAGCAGGCAGAGAGAAAAGGCATGCAGAAGCTGTGACCTGAGCGGTGCCAGCTGCCTCTCATGATGTCTACATTCTGAATAGTGGAGACATGGTACTGCGTATGCTAATCACTGGCAAACTCAGAAGAGAAAATGCTCACCAAAAGCACTACCTCCTACAGGAAAATAGAAGACCATGCATTTCACCTAACAGTGGAAAATGAATTTATACGGTTAACACGGAAAATGTGCATATACCAAATGAAAGGTACCGTTCTAAAGCCACATGATAAGGAAGCACAGCCAGGGCGCTGGAAGAAAACAGCACATCACACTGCTTCTGGGGAAATTAGATGGTCTGGTACGTAGCCATACTCACTAAGTGCTTAGAGATTAAGTTCAATTTCAATTTTAATTCTTAATGATACTTAAGGGATGGCTGAGGAGATGGCTACAATTTCAAAAGGTTTTTTGTTGTAGGAAGTGGGGGTGGGGTGGGGATATGAAAAAATACACACAATGCTACTATCAAAAGTACTTACATTATTATATGGAAAAAATTACCTCGGCATAGAAACTTTCCAAAGAGAAATGCAGTATGAAGCATAGACTCTGATAGCAAATGAACAGTTGCTAGGTGAAGTAAGTGCTGTACACAGAGCTGGGATTCAAAGGTTCATAGAAAGGGATGTGTTCATGCTGGTGTTTATGTAGCACATGAACCACTGTGTGGCTGACAGTATTGGGAAGTGTTTCAGCACAAAAACACTTACAAATTAGTCCTTTGAGTGGCACAGCATTTGGAAATCTTTTAGAGTTTTGAAGAAAGTTCAAAATTTAGTGTGAACTGGTCAAAATGTTTAAGATAGCTGGGCAAGGTGGGCCACACTTGTAGTCCTAGCTATGTGGGAGGCGGGAGGATCAGGAGTTTGAGACTAGCCTGGACAATTCAGTAAAACTTGGTCTCAAATAAAAATTAGGGGCTGAAGGTGGAAGGTCGGGGACGTGTGTGTGCCTAGCATGTGAGAGACTCTGGGCTGATCCCTAGCACTGGGGACTAATTTCACAAACTTTGGAAGGCTGGGGAGGAGTGTAGCTAGGAGTACAGTGCCACCATGCGTGAAGCCCCAGAGTTCTATGGTTAGTTCTGCAAACTAGAGAAAGCAATGAAACCGTGAGGTAGTATCTGCATCTGCCACCCTATGCCTGAGGACTTGTGCCAACACTCAAGCCAAACCCTTTAGCAAAGGCATGAAACTTGGTTTGTGCCATTGGCTCAGGAATTACTCTGTGCTGACCCAGGTTAAAAGCAGAGGAAGTCAATCTAGTGACTAACACCATCAGTTAGCCTCCACTCAAGGCTGGAGGCCAGAGGCTACAGTGTGGCAGCCTGCTCCGCTTCCTGGACCAAGTGGCATGGGCATGAGAGGATGTGGAGGAGATGCTCCTGTTTTTATAGCCGAGTTTACGTCATCCATGAAAAACCTCCTATCTCAGCTCACTAGAAAAAGCTGCTAGAGGCCTGATTATTTTTAGTTGAGTCTATAACATATTCAAATGTTCTAAATATTTTTCAGCAGGGCACTTAAGGTTGGCCACATAATGTATATCCTGGATGACTCATTTTCACTCACAATTGTTTCTTTGGAAGTACCATTTGGCAAAGAATTATCTGACTAAATTTCCCATTGAACACAGTTTTAGGAATAAAAGCATAGTCACAACGACATTCTCAAGATTATAAAACATAGGTTAAAAACTGGACTCCAAAAAGCCAAATTGAATCTCAAGTCATATGAAAATGCGAGGATTGTATACAGTTCACTTTCTCAGTTAGTCTTGCTGGGGTGAGGATGGAAGACACAGTGGTGGTGCATCCCAACAACAGAGCTGCCCACTGTGAACATGGTGGCCGCCACTATGCAGCAACTGCTCTCCTGCATGCAAAGCACCCCATCAAAGCTGGGGTGCTGGGACACCTGGTGATCCACTTGTCCTGTTTTCCACACAAGTATTATCATCTGTATTCCCTGAAGGACTACATTACAGTACTGAGACACAGGAAATACTGTTAATTATATAGCTTTTCAACTGTTCAGAAGTACATATTGCTTCCATTTCTAGGATTTGTTATGGATAAATCTACAAGCTGCCACTGACACCTTGGTGTCAGAGTTCCAGTTCCACGGAATGAGCAGTTACCACACCACACAGCACTGACAACGTTTCCGTATTTACACGATTCAAACATGCAAACCCCTGATGGCCCTCTACAGGGCTTTATACCTGACCCTTCTTAACTTCAAAATAACTAAGAAAAGTGCAGTAGTGTGTTGCTGTGATGGCAGAGCTGGCAAGCAGGCCAGGAGGGAACAGAGTCAGGACTGCGTGATTCTCAGGCCTATTTGAACTAATGTACGCAATGTTGGCCAGCAGATCAAAACTGGGCCTAAAAAATGAAACTGAAGGAAAAAACTAAATCTGTATTGAGTTTTTCTACCAGTAAAACCAAGGAAGAGTGAAAAGGTGGAAATACTGGGAGACAAAGGTTAGCAGAGTAATTGTGCTGAAATAGGAAGCAGAACTGACCCTTGGGGTGGATGACAGGCTCTGTACCACGAACACCACAGGGTTTCCTGCGTTCTTGATGGCCTCCACGGCTTCTGCATGGGAGGCATTCTGCAGGTCTATGCCGGATACCTAAAACACAGAAGACGGCATTCTGATTAGAAAGGCACAGGTTAGCTCAGATTCGTGTGTATCATCCTGTGTGTGAGAAAAGCCAGAAACTAATGAGTGAGACCACAGTCAGGAAATGGGACCAACCACACATGGAATGCTCTACTGTTTCCCACTCTGATCAAGGAAAATAATGTCTCCCCCTGGGGCAAAGAGGACAGTTCCAGTATAACAACAGTCTCACTTTCACATACTGACCCTAACCTGGGAGCTGGTAAGGTTCCATTCCAATGATGTCTCTGCAATAGCACAGGGCAGTATGTAACAGAAGCCTGATTCTGAGTGGGAGTGAGGAACCTTCTGAACTTTTACTGTCTCTCTGTAAACTATTATTACAATCCAGAAACTGAATAGTTCTCAATTTGTGTTAACAAAAAGAGCATCCAAACACACACAGGTTCTTTTACTAAAAGTGTTTCTATCTGCTTACTATGGAAACTCAGAGAGCCTAACTTAATAGCATGCCCACAGCTCTCAAAGAGCACAGACCCAGGGTTTCAAACCCAAACAGAGCAATGCCTTAATTGTTGGGGTGGGTTTTAGTCAGTAGGGTGGGGAGTGTATTGTTTTAAGGGCATGAGTAGCAGGACTGAAGGATGAATTCAAGTGTTCTCCTGACAGACCCCATAGTTCGAGATGGGAATGGTTGATGGTGGAGCTAGGGACAAATGGAACTCTGACACACTGCGACACCAAATCCTGGTTCTTTTTGGCTTTAGAATTAGAAAGCAGGAACTCAAGTGGCTACATGGATGAAGACCTACTTCTGAGAAATAAACCCTAACTTCTTAAAGAAGTTCTTTTTATGTATCTAAATCTTTCATGTAATTGCTTAAAGAAATCTGTTTACAACATACAGACAGAATTCATCACTGGCTTACGTAAAAACAAACCAAATAAAAACTTTATAGCAGCAATCACAGGAAAAGAGCAAATGATTCATTACAGTTGGCACAATGCATAGTAAAATGTAACCTCTGAGTGCCATTGGGAGCTTGGAAAAAACTAGCAGATAAGGTGAAAAAAACTTAAAGATTTGATCTATTTATGTGTATATGCACACATATGTGCTGGTACTCTCAGGGACCAGAGGAAGGCATCAGACCCCCTGCAGCTACAGCCATAAGCCCTAGTGTGGGCAGCCTGATGAGGGTACTGGGAACATATCAGGTCCTGTGGAACAGAAGTCGGGCTCTACTGAGACATCTTACTTCTGAGACATCTCTCCAATCCTCCAATTCCTAATTTATAGAAGATAAAGCAACAGACCACCAGAAAGCAAGTAGAAGGCATGCTAAGAGGCTTCACTGGAGAGGATAAGCACATGAGAACACACATCACTAAGCCAGGACAGAACTGCAAACTGAAACCACAGTGAAGTATTACTGTATACCTATTAGAATGCCAAACTGGTAATACCATCACCAGATTGAGAATGTGGACAAACTGTATCATTTACTCATGGCTTGTAGGGAAATAAAATAGCTCAGTCACTCCTGAAAATAGTTTGATAGCACTATTCAAATTTACAAATGGATTAGCATAAAGACTAGCAAGTAGCATTTACACATTATTCCAGAGAAATAAAGACTTGTTTGCATTTGGTAATTATGCACTTGGTTTAGTGATACGCACTTGTAATTTTGGCAGGAGGTGAAGATGAGAAGATTGGGAGTTTAAGGCCAGCCTCAGCTACAAACAAATTGGTTCAAGGCCAACGTGGGCTACATGGAACTAGAGGTATCTATTCTGGTATCATCCAACAAGCCAAATGCACATATCCATTCAGATCTCAGAGCATTTTTAGTGTTTTCATGTCCATTTAAAATTTATGTCCCAAGACTAGAGAGATGTCTTAGAAGTTAAGAGCATTTGCTGCTCCTTCAGAGGACCTGGGTTCAGTTCCAAGCACCTACATGGCAGCTAGCAACGACCTCTAACTCCAGGTTCCAGAGTATCTAAAGCCTTTTTCTGTCCTCTGCAGTCTCCTGTATGCACAAGATAGACATAAATTCATGCAGCAATGACATACACATAAAAATAATAAATAATGAGCAAATCTTTAAAATAAATAAGATTTGTTCTCATAAAACTGAACACATTATGAACATGGATCCATCCCCTTCCAGGGTTAACTTCTTTCTGTAGACAAGATACAAGCACAAAACCTAGAACTTGCTAAAAATTCTGGGAAGCAAGTGTCCACCTGGTCTACATGCAACATTATGCGAAATCCTTCAGTCAGCCTTTAGTATTTGACTTGCTCTCCCCTCACAAGCTAAAGAAGTTCATATAGTATGCTTATGGTATACAAACTAAGGTGTCACAAATGGACGCTACCAATTCTATCCAATTATATTAAACATGAGGTTTGCCAAAGTGATTCTTTTACTGATTCAAACGTTTCAAGTAAAACATGCTTTCAACTTCACTTACCTCAAGTATTTTATCCCCAGTTTTAAGAGCATTGGTTTTGCCTGCAGGACTATCTTCTAACACTTGTTTGATGAATATACCCTTGAGCTCCTCTCCATTCTTTAGGCGTTTTATAACTGTTTGTCCACCAACAATGCTGATGCCAAGAGACACGCCAGGTTCTCTAAGAATCTCCACACTGTAAAGGGACAAAGAAACCACACTCAGGAATAAGGTAATTTCACTTGCTATATTGTCATTGTAAGTGTTCCATCTGCTGCATAGCCTGTGGCTCATGTTTTATTAAAATTTCCTAATGTACTTTATAGATTTTATATGAATGATGCTAGCTCAAAAATTATGAGACACTCAAAATGTATGACATGTAAAAGTTTAAATTTTGACAAGCTAGATCTCTCAACTAAGAACTCTTTGAATTCAGAGATGAGCTAGCTAAGGCTTGACATGCCTCTCTCCTATCACTGTACCATCAGTCACTTCACTCATATGCACAATGGTAGCAGAGAGACTCTGAGCAAATAACAAAGGGGTGAAGACTAAAGCAAGCACTTATTCATTTTAATAAAGCCTCAGCTTTGCAGAGTAAAATAAACTTACTGTGAGTGGCGCACAACCCACTGCTTTTCCCAGAGGGAAGGTTTAAGCGTGAGGATCTCTGTAGAAGGGCAACTTTTATCTGCTCTGAAGGCTAGCAGGGCTTCTTGCTTTCTCCTTCTACATCACTGTTTTTGTTTGTTTGCTTCTGTTATTTGATATAGGGTGTCCCTATATAGCTAGGCTGACCTTGACTTGGTACTCTTGTTTCAGGTTCCCAAGCGCTGTAGGCAAGTGCCATCATATCACTTATACACCCACACATATACCCAAACAAATACTTTTTTTTTAAATCCAATGACACTTTAAAAAGGAGTATGTCCTATATAAATTTTGCTTTAACTATAAAAGCATGACTAGTAGTCAATTCACTTTAAAAATGACTCAGAAAATATGTCTTCAGAATCTTTTAAGACAGAACTTGGAACTGTAAGATGATAGGCTGGGGGATGTGGAATTAACACAGCAGAAAAACAGAGAGAGAAGCTACTGAAGGGCTTTAGTAACTATAAAACGCTGGTGGTCTGACAAATACGTCTACGTGCAACCACATGCAAGAGAAGATGAGTTCATTCTGTGAGCCCAAACCAAACACAAATGCATACTCTACAGCAGGAGAGAGGAGCGAGAGAAGCTAGCAGGTGAGAGGATCCTCAACTACTGTTTCTAGACCTGAAGCTTCAGAGCACTCAAGGCAGCACCACCTCACTTGTAACTGACACATGATACAGCATGATGTCCATCAGTGGCTACTCTCAGAGGGACATTTGCAAGTTGCTTTCTGAGACAGCATCAAAGAGTTTATTAATACTGGCTAAGAGTCTTTAGAGAAGAAAAAAGGGGACTAAAATTTAGCACAAAGGATATTACTTATTTTAAGTATCAATTACAGTGTGACTAAGTGTCTTAGTCAGGGTTCCTATTGCTATGAAAATAGAAAAAACAAGTTGGGGAGGAAAGGATTTATTTGGCTTAAACTTCCATATTACTGTTCACCACTGAAGGAAGTCAGGACAGGAACCCAGAGACAGGAGTGGATGCAGAAGCCATGGAGGAATGCTGCTTACTGGTTTGCTCAGCCTGTTTTCTTATAGCACCCAGGACTACCAGCCCAGGGATAACCCCACCCACAATGGGCTGCTCCCCCCCCCCCCAACAATCACTAATTAAGAAAATACCCTACAGTCAGATCTTACGGAGGCAATTTTTCAATTGAGGTTCCCTCCTTTCAGATGACCCCAGCTTAGGTAAAGTTGACACAAGACTAGGTAGTAGACTAAAGAGGCTGAAGCAAGGCACAAGGGTGTGCTTGTACTGAGGACGGTAATGGCACACACTCACATTCTTGGTGGACCCCAGTGGCTGAAGTTGGGCGTTTCCTCTCCTTCACCTTCCTCTCTCTCTGGTAACTCCCTGTAAGGAGAAACACAAAACTTATAAGACACATTCTTATTCTTAAAAGTTTTTGGAAGTTTCAAAATTGCATGATCTATGGGTAAATAATTAATTTTTAACCTTTTAAAGTATTCACATCAGTAAATAGACAAAGCAAACATTCACTGCTTTGATAGTCAACAAAGCAACCCCCCACATAGCTCCAAAACATCACAGAATGATGAAAACCTGGTAAAACATGAGACTCGTTGCCTTTAGTTTGTACAATTTCACATTTGCAGTATCATCAATATATAACATTTTTCTGTAGTTCTATAAAGAGTCTCACTCTGTAACCAGGCTGGCATGGAAGATGCACCGATCCTCCTGCCTCAACTCCCTAGTACTAGGATTACAGATGTGAGTGACTACGCCTGGCCTAAAATGCTTCTTAAACGTTGTACTGACTGACCAGCTAGATGAACAGTCCAGAACTCACTGTTTATTCTGACCTCTCAAGTTAGGTCAACTTGCTGACCTGGATAAAAAGAAAGGCTGAATTACAGAGTAACTAGTTAGTGCAGCAATGTGATTGCTACTGGACATGGTGCTTATCACAGCAACAGAAAGCACACTAGAGCAAGCAGGTTTGAAAAATTCTTAGTTTTAGGAAAAAAAGCAATCCTTGGTATTTGTGAAAGTTTGCTTTGATTTTGGATTTTTTCAGTTAAGGGATGAAATCCTAATGACAGTGTAAATGGTTTCCATGGCCCATTTACATTGTCAATATAGGAATTATATTCCTCACCATGCCCAGAAGCAATTTGGGGAGAAAAGGTCTTTTTTATTTTATAGCTTATAGTCTCATCATCTAGAGAAGCAAAGTCAGGAACTGAAGCAGAGACCCCCAAAAATGATGCTGAGTAGAGTGTTCCACAGCTTAGGATCCACTACTTTTCTTATACAGCCAAATCAAAAGGGGTCTGAGCCCTTCGACTACAACTATCAATCAAGAAAATGCCCCACGGAATGTCCTCTTTGATTATTCTAGGTTTGTGACAAGTTGACAGGTGAGGTTAACTATGACACATCTAGTTCTCAGAACTTCACAGAAGGGAGGAGGCAAGACACTGTCTAGCACGTAAAAAAATTGGTTTTCTTTGATTAGGATGTAATGCAGGGATTCTTCTACTGGAAGAGGCTCACTACATTTTCATTGCCTATTATCATTCTTCAAGGAGTTGGGATACATACACTGTCATCAGATTATTTCATAGAAAATAAAGTCTGATGCCGGGCAGTGGTGGTGCATGCCCTTCATCCCAGCACTTGGGAGGCAGAGCCAGGTGGATCTCTGTGAGTTCGAGGCCAGCCTGCTCTACAGAGTGAGGTCCAGGACAGGCACCAAAACTACACAGGGAAACCCTGTCTCGAAAAACAAAAAAAAAAAAAAAACAAAAAAAAGAAAGAAAGAAAAGAAAAGGAAGACTGAAACTTATGAACGTTATGCATATTGGATAAGTTTCAGAAGGTCAGAAGGGGTGTACAATTGAACAAATAAAGTCACTTTACCGTGAATGTATACACCATTTAATCTGAATTAGAATCCAATAGAGCAAATCAAATACTTTTATTGTACATATTGAGATGTAAATTTGCTTAAAACATTGTAAATAAATAAAAAACTTAAAACATTAAGGAAATTTTAATATTTTCTGATTGTTTTCATTAGTATTTTCTAGTTACCACACACAGTAATGGACTTCACAGTCACTTTGCTCTTATTTACCTCCCTGTCATGCTCCCTAGGCCCCTCTTAGTGGTCCTACATACACAGAACAGGTCCTCCACCTGCCGTCACCTCACTTACACTCTTACCTGTTCCGTGGCCCTTCCCCTCACTTTGGACCTCTACCTCCCTTCACAGTCTGCGCTCTCTCTCTCTCTCTCTCTCTCTCTCTCTCTCTCTCTCTCTCTCTCTCTCGCTCTCTCTCGCTCTCTCTCGCTCTCTCTGTGTATGTGTGTGTGTGTGTGTGTGTGTGTGTGTGTATGTGTGTGTGTGTCACATGCACACCATCAAATGTAGACAAACATCAATCTACACCTAAGCTCCACGTGAGGGAGAAAACACGCAATACTCATCTTTCTGGGTCCAGCTCATTCCACTTTGCACAATAATCTTTAGTGCATCTATTGTTCTATTCTTTATAGCTAAACAAAATCCCTTGTGTGTTTGTGTCACATTTTCCTTACCAGTTCCTCTCCTGTTGGACACTTAGGCTAACTCTATAACTAGCTACCATGTGCTTATCTTCAGCACATGTGAGCACAGACAGACCTCTGCAGAGTTGTACTCAAAGTTAATAATAAGAAACTTTAAAATGCCATTTAGTGCCGGGCAGTGGTGGTGCATGCCTTTAACCCCAGCACTCGGGAGGCAGAGCCAGGTGGATCTCTGTGAGTTCGGGGCCAACCTGGGCTACAGAGTGAGTTCCAGGAAAGGTGCCAAAGCTAAACAGAGAAACCCTGTCTCAAAAAACCAATAAATAAATAAATAAATAAAATAAAAATTAAAAAATAGAAAATAAAATGCCAGTTAGTATGAAGACTACCTTTCTGACAAAGAACCTGTGTATTATTCAGGAAGGCTCCCCAGTGGAGTAAATAGTTACCTGTGAGCCTCATGCCTAAGTCTTGCCTTTTGGGATTAGGAAAGGAGAGCAAGTACAGTTCACAGGAACTCCTCTGAAATCTGCTGAAGTTTAAACACTTCTTAAATCTCTGACTGCAAACCCAAAGCCAACACTGAAATACAGGAATGATCTCCTGAGGTAAAGGTTAGTTTGGAGCCTAAACACCTGTGCCTGCCTTTGCCTCTGTGTCTCTCTGTCTCTTTTCCCTCCTTGAGGAGGGAAAGCCATGGGTAGCAGCAGAGTGCTTCTTCCCTGTGAGGCTGGGACAATTAAGCAATGCACATCCATGTCCACTCCTCTCTGTGCAAAAGAAATGGGCTCAACCTGTGATTAGATCTCTTCCAATTCTTCAGTTAACAAATTCTCGTGCAGAGAAAACACTCCACTTCTATCAGATTCAACTATTAACACTAAGTACAAGGCCAGCTGAAACAACCAAAGGTGCTTCACTGACACGTGATTAGACCGCATAAAAGTCATAAAGTATGACCTCAACCCTTTCACTCTGGGAAAGGATGCTATTGCTGACTTGTCCCTGTGCTTCCCTCTGCACGCTGCCCGGCACCTGCATTTATATGTAAGAAAATATTAGTAAAATGGGGTGTGTGTACCCTCCTCGCCTTGAATTATCTGGGCAATATGCATTGTACTAGCCTCTTTGCATGTCTAGGATTCTCAACATTACCCTGTGCCTACCCTGTCCAACTTCTGAACTTTCTGTTCCATTCTCAACTCACTGTTTGATTGGCACCCAGCACCAAAACAACACCAACAAAACACAGACAAACAAGGCAGCTCTGTGCTTAAGAAGCCCCATGAAAATGTTGCTCTTTGGCATCTTATCTTTGGCATCTCTGTAGCTCTCCCCCTGGTTTGCAATTCATCAACTTCCTTACACCTCTTCTTTCTGCCCCCACCTCTCCTTCCTCTCTCCAGTCAAGCTGAGAGCACCCTGTGTGGCAGGACTTTGAAAGCTCACATTCTTCTCACTGCTTGAGTTTCCCTGGGAGATCCTTCAAAGCTTCATCTATACTTGACCATGTTCTCAATGACACGTCAGAATACACATTAATCCCAAACTGATATATTCAATGGATTCCATTCGCTTTGTGAATTTAAGGGTATTTCAATCCTCAACATGTCCGCAAATAACCTGATAACTTTCCTGCCAACTTGTTATAAAGACAGGCCTTTATCTTGTCAAAGAATTAATGTCCCATTATCTAGCTTCCTACTCCAGAACCATGAGGCTCATATACTGTCATTAGTCATTCCTCCCTACAGATTCTCTGATGCTTGAGTCTACACATCCTTTTGTCCTCGAGCCCACTTGCTGGCCTGTTAATAGAAACTGTAAATTAATATCCCATTCTCTAATCAAATTCTGTATGCAATCCATTTTGTGAATAAAAATATAAAATTCTATTTGTGATCTAATTTCATGTACTATGTAAATTTTTAATAGTAATTGTCTAATACAGATTTAGTTATAATATCCTTCTATATTTTCTAAATGTTACACTAAAATTTCACATTGTTCAGAAACAAAAGTCAAACCAGGAACCAGCTATAGGGGAAAGGGAACACAGGGGAGGGTCTGCGGGTGGGAAATGAGAATAAAGGAGAAAGTCACATATGTAAATAAACGCCACGATGAAACATATTCCTTTATGTGACAATTTAATGATAATAAATGGTAGACACACTGCTCTGTGTAACTCAACAACAGTTTTCAAAGGAAGAAGAAAGAGGAGGACACTGTACCATGCAGCATTTCCATATCTTGAAGACACTGTGACCACGTGTGACGAAGACTTGGAGACAACCCGGGCACTGGGGAGTCGGTACAAAGGCAGATCTTCTTGCTCTCTTCTTTGGGCCACAGCTGGAAGATCGACGAGCATGCCAGGACTGTGGACATCATTTGGAATCATCGTGCCTGAGGAAACCAGATGACAGGAAATAAAGACCCAGTGATTCAACAAATCGTTACGGATGCCCACTATAGGTATGGCTCTTCCAGCTAGCAGATGGATGAAATTAAAGTACAGAGGTGAAAGCCTTAAGGCGGGATGGCGGAGAGCATGAAACAGGAAGGGGATGGGGCTGCACAGAGGAAGTTACATTTCCAGTGTGTCCTCACAGCAAACAAACAATGAACAAAACTAGGCACTTTATCAATATCGTTACTTTATCAGATGACCCCCCTTATGTTTTCTAATCATACTTCAAAGTTTTCCATTCTCACCCTGATCATGAGTACTCTGGCATTTATTCATTTAAACAAAATGGCCCCATGGAATAGCAACTAAGTAAGAATTCTTACAATTTGAAAAGCTTAGTTCGGAAACTCCAGATTTTTTTTTATATCTGTTGACTCGTTCTATTTTTACAGATAATTGTAAGAAAGAAAAGGCATTATTAACTATATTTTATGAAAGGGGAAATTCAGGTTAAGGAGTTTGCTAATTGTTAGTCTGTGCAGGTATGTGCAAGCCGGGTGCACAGATGCTACAGTGCATGTGTAGGTCAGAAGACAAGCTTTAGGACTTGGTTTTCGTAGGTCGTCTGGCTTTGCAGCAAGTGCCTTTTACTGCCAAGCCATTTTGCTGGCCCAATGTATACCTGGCCACTAAAGTACAGAAATTACCATAATTGATTTAAATGTTTATCTTTTTAAAGCCATGTTCTTATTCTTATTTCAATTTACTTATGGGGGAGTATACACAAGTGTGCACAGATGCATGCATGGGTACATACTTCGGGAGGCAGAACAAGACATCAGCTGTCTTCCTCTACCACTTCCGGCCCTACTGTCTTGTGACAAGGGCTCTCATAGAACTGGAAGCTCACCTGATTTGGTAGGTCAGCCAGAGAGTGCTTAGGTCAGCCCATATCATCTCGGATTACAAACATATATGCCCAGCTTTTTATATAGATGTTGGAGATTTTAACTCAAGCTCTTATGCTTACAAAGCTGGCTTTCTCTCCCAGTGAGTCATCTCCCCAGTCCCTTATGTTAATTCTTATTCTTTCTTTCTTTCTTTTCTTTTCTTTTTTGATAGGGTCTCACTAGATAGCCCAGGGTAACCTCAGACTCACAAAGACCTGTCTGTCTCTGCCTCCCAAGTGCTGGGGTTAAAGGTATGTGCCACCATGCCTAACAAAGATTTCTTTTTTAATTATGTGTATGTGGGTGAATATGTATGCCCAGAGAGGCTAGAAGATGGCATTAGATTCCCTGGAGCTAGAGTTACAGGCAGTTTTAGAAGTGACCCATTTGTGATGGGTGCTAGGAGCCAAACTCTCTGGTCCTCTGTAAGAATAGGAAGCACTCTTAACCACTTAGCCATATATCCAACCGTAATTATTATTCTTAATTTTTTATAGTGTGTGTGTGTGTGTGTGTGTGTGTGTGTGTGTGTGTATGTTGAACATGTGGCAGTCAGAGGACAACTTTCAGGAGTGGGTTCTCTACTCCATTTTGTGGAAGGTCTCCATGGTCCTGCTGCTGCATGAGCCTCCAGGCAATTCCCCTCTCTGCCTCCCACCTCAGCACAGGAATACTGGGATTAGAAAGGCATGCCAGTGCATCTGGTTTTGCTACTTGGGTTTTGGCAATTAAACTCAAGTTTTCAGGATTCAAGGGCAAGTGCTTTCACCCAGTTAACCATCTTACTGCCGTGTGTGTGTGTGTGTGTGTGTGTGTGTGTGTGTGTGTGTGTGTGTGTCCTTCCTTTATTAGCATCTACACTGTTTATTTTGTACATGGATTTGTGTAGTGTACATTCATGTGTGGAGGCTTGAGATTGAAGCAGTGTTTTTCTTGGTCACTCTCTACCTTACAGAGGCCAGGTCTCTTTCTGAACCTAGGGCTTACTGCTATAAGTAATCTGGCTTCAAAGCTTCTGAGGACTCACTGTCTTTGTCTCCTAAGCTCTGGAATTAAAGAAAGCTGCCACACCGAGCTGGCTTTCACAAGGTTCTGCAGATTAGAGCCTTGATCTTCACACTTGTGCAGGAAGCATTTTTACCCTCTGAACCATCTCCCCAGCCCCAGCCTCTTACCGGTAATTTTGGTTTCCATTTAGATGGACTCATAACCTTGAGGAACGTTGGTAAGGGGAGAGTAACAGCTTGGACTCTAGCTGCAGGCAGATTCCGTATGGGGCTTGGGATGTAGCTCAGTTGGTAGAAATGGCTGCTTGGCAAGCATGGAGCCCTGGCTTTGATCCCTAGCACCACATGAACCAGCTGTGGGGTGCATACCAATAATCCCACCACTCGGGAAGGAGAGGCAGGAGGATCAGAAGTTCACAGTAATTCTTAGCTACATAGTTGGAGGCCACCTGGGCTGCAGTCCAGAAAGCAGAGTAATTACAGACAGAAAAGCAGCAAGGTGGAAGAGCTGACTATGAACAGTTCTGTGCAGAGTCAAGCAGGCAATGGGAAACCTAGCAAGGCCCAGCTGTGGGGAACTTCGCTAACCAGGGAGGAGCCTGACTTGCTGTACCAGGAGCCTTCCTTGAGGCCAGTGGGCTAGCCTTAAGGACCCATGAACCATACACTGAAACAATCTCCCCTAAGGCATTTTTATTTGAAATTTGTATTCTTGAAGAAAATGTGAAATGCTATAAATTATGAAGTGTTAGTTGAAAGCTCACACATATATAAGGAGATGGAATGCTACTTTACAGGGTTGCATAACACTAAATAATGCAGCATTTATCCAAACAATATGAAATTTGATACAGACTTTCATCAAGATTATTATTAGGGGCCATGGCTCAGTGGAATGTTGCTTGCCACCAAGTCTGGCAACCTGAGTTGCCTAGTTCAATCCCTAGAACCTGTGTGACATGACAGAAGGAGAGAACTGCCTCTGACTCCTCGTGAACAAGCACGAGTGGGCACACACACAAATAAATATAAAAAAAAATTTGTTAAAGTTATTTGATTTGTATATTTGTTTCCTAAAAGATTTCTTTCAGAAGTTAAGCAAGACGTTGTAATTTATTTTTGTTTGTTTTTTGAGACAGGGTTTCTCTGCGTAGTTTTGGTGTCTGTCCTGGATCTCGCTCTGTAGACCAGGCTGGCCTTGAACTCACAGAGATCTGCCTGGCTCTGCCTCCCGCGTGCTGGGATTAAAGGCGTGCGCCACCACTGCCAGGAGACAACAGAAAACGGATATGAGCCCTCTCTCCCATCCCAAACTAGGATGTTAGGGATAGGGTCTAAACAGTTTCTCATTCTTCTCCATGTTTCTGCCTGTCACACCCTGGTCCTCAGGCAGGCTATGCAAGTGATCTACCTCTGTGCCTATGCCTCAGCCTCCTGATTTTCTTCTATTTAATGGAGACTTTATTCCAGATTCTCAGGATTGCTTTGCATCTCTGCTCTGGAATCCAAAATAGGGGCCTCCCCTTCTAGTTTTCTGAAGTGTGTAAGAGAGTCCAAAGTGCCACCTGTGTTCCCTTCTTGTTTGCTCAATAAAAGAAGAACAGGGCAGACTGAGGAAGCTGGGGTCCATTGAGAGGCCTGCACCCACACGAACATCAGTTTACTCATCACTGGAGCATATCTAGGGACCCAATATAAACTCTCGACCAGTCTGTCCTCATGTTTACAAGAACACGAGGAACTTTACACCAAGTGCCTTCCTTGAATCTGTGTCTTTACCGTGTTTCAGTGTCTTGACGCACCAGCAAACCAGAACACCACCCACACTTCACCTTGAACAACCTGTCTAGTAAACGACCACTCCTTTTGTTTTTGATCTTGTCCAGAGACTAGGTCTAGGAACAGAAACTAGACTAGAAACAGGTCTAATTAAGTGGCAATACAGCAGAGATTGGGGGGAATAGAATTACCATGCTCAGCTGCCTTTCCTGTCCCCAGACAGTTCGCTGCCAACTGCTAGGACCTCATTTCTGTGTGGTCGTCAAAGCGTTGTCTGACAGCTGCAGGTATTGCCTGTGCACCTCAACTCAATGGGTGGGAAGCAGAGGTGGAGCAGAACCCAGGCAGTGGCTGGAAGTACAGCAAAGGCTCCACTTGCTGAGCAGTTTCCCACAGCCACTGCTCCGCTGTGCGAGTTAATGCAGGTTAGCTATCACTTCTCATGCCTGTTGCGCAGGCCCTCTGCCCACTGCCTCCTCACTGGCCTTTTGCCAGCGCACAAATGCCCATTTCTCACCTCTCACCGTGTTTGTCACACACTTTATAGAACTGTTCACCGTGTGCTCACAGCACCCACGAGCCCATAAAATGAATCATGTCCCAGAGGACAATACAATTGTTAGGCAATGGCTGTAATGGACACAAAACCAGGGAGGTTAAAAAGGCCCCTGGAAGTTAATGCTTATAGAAAAGAAATGGGGAAAAATTTCCAAACCTTATCCCTGGTGAGGTGCAAGAACAGAGCAGCATGGAGAAAAAAGGAGAACTTGAGCAGAGAGAACAGGGGGCTGCAGAAGTCAGCAACAGACCCAAGTAAGTTGATGAGTTCAACAACTACACACAAGCAGCCTGCGCCTTCTCACGTGACAAATACTACTGTGCACACTGTGGTAACAGAGCCAGTGACAAGCCTCACCCCGCAGAAACTCAGATTACAGTAAGAGACTATTCTGAAAATGGGTACAATGACAGAAATCCCTCTGGAGTGGGCAAGATGGAAACAGAGCTGTTTCTTTCCTGGAATCCTGGAACACTGGCACACTGATTGTATTCCTTATTTGGAATTCATCTTCTTGTCTTTCATTGTGAATCATACTCATTTACAAGTTTGCTTTCACACTCCATGGAGAATGTGAATACGTTAAAGAAACAACATTGTGTTGGTATGTTTTTGCTGTTGCTTCTGTTTACGTTGGTGGCAAAACCATTATGTGCTCTACTGCCATTGAGTCATATCCAAAGCCCAAAGTCACTATTTTGGATTAACCAACCACAGGATCAGGAATAGCCTATTACACATAGGTTATCAACAAATGATTTTAAAATTAATTGCTTTATAAATCTAAGATGGTCTGTTCCTGATGAAGTGCACAATGAGCTACAGATTTGAACAGGGCTCGAAGACCCTGAGACCTAATGTGACTTTACAACTGAGGAAAGAGGGGGCTTGGAGAAGCTCCGGGCAGGTTACCAGCTTAGTACAGAGGAGCCTGGTATTCAAATAGGGCCTGTTGTTTGCTGAGCAAAGCTCTCAAGAGAAAAATACAAATAAGAATGGGATCAACTCAGGACACATGCTGCTGTGATGTGTACCAGCCCATGTCATTATCTTCTTAGCCCAGCATGGTGAGTACCAATCTAGTCATGCTGTCACAGATGTATGTGCTTAAGAACCATTTCTGAGCGAGGACAAGTCCAAGAGACATAATATTTTTTTGGTTTTTTGAGACAGGGTTTCTCTGTGTAGTTTTGGTACCTGTCCTGGATCTTGCTCTGTAGACCAGGCTGGCCTTGAACTCACAGAGATCCGTCTGGCTCTGCCTCTGAGTGCTGGGATTAAAAGCGTGCACCACCGCCACCACCACCACCAGGCTCAAGATATCTACCTTTAACAACAGTCCCCAAATGATATTGTCAAAGACCTAGGGTCTTGCAAAGCTGAATGGTACTCCTTCAACTCCTCTCTGAGAATCTATAGATGATTAATTGTTTATAGGAGAGGAAATATCATTTTCTTCAGTAATGTAACCACCGATGACGAGTTGTCCATGCTCCTATAAATAACAGCCCACCCATTATTTGTAAGAAACCCTAATGAATCTCAATGGGTCACTAGGGAAAAAAAGTCATGAACGTAGAAAGGTGACAGTTGGAAAGAGGAAGAGGATCAATAGGAGTGAGGGGGGACAAGAGAGTAATGGAGGTGTTTATGACCAAAATACATTACACATCTGTTTGAAAATATCATAATACACCCCAGTATGTATAATTAATTTATAGTAATCAAAACCAAGGATAATATTAAATGGTATAGAGCTTTTGAAATAGAGACTCAAAACCTGTTGGGAAAGTTTGTTTTCAAGCACAGTCATGCAGAAATATAGTTGGAAGATTTGATCTAGTGGTAATAAACTGGATAGAATTAGAAAGGGAGGGGGGAGGGAGGGAGGGAGGAGGTGGTGGCAGGGAGGGAGGAGAAAGGGGGAGGGAGGAAAAGAAGGAAGGAAGAAAGGAAGTAAGCAAGCAAGCAAGCAAGCAAGGATAATATGGCTCCAAGTAGACACCTGTAAAATAGCAGCAGTGACCAGGCCAGTGTGGTCTGCTCATTCTTGTCATGCACTGTGAACAAGTAAGTACTTATTAATCAGAGAACCAAGGACATGGGGAGAACTTTACAAAGTAGATTTCCTATAGGCTTGAGGGGGCAGGGAATAAAAACTCTCTTCTCCCAGCTATGAGCCTGAAAAGTTGCACAGACTCATCTAATCACAGGGTTCCATGGTGATTGCCTGCTCTGGTCACTCACAGGGGCTAACCAGCATCATCACTGCACAGCTTTCTCTAAGTGCCATCAGGGCTCCTCTCTGTAGATGCCACTGAACACACTCATGACCTCACACCAAACTGTCATCACTTTCTGAAGCCCTCTCCCATCCATGTCTGACATGTGAAATGTCATTGCAGAGAGCTTTCCCCAAAGCAAAGTCTAACAGTAAAAGATAGCACAGATCCTGAACAGCTCTGAGTCCCAGGGTGAGGACTGAACAGTCTTACCCATGATCTCAATAGAATAACAACAGCCAATATTTCACTGTTGGATGAATAAAAAAAAAATCTTTTAAAGTTGAGGCTTCAAAAGTATACGAAAGTTGCTATTCTGGAGTGTCAAAGAAAGGTATAATACTTTCAGAACTCTTTAATGGAACCTAAGTTACTAATGTACTAGAATCAACTATAATTTATGGTGAAGAAAATGCTTCATAAATGTTTAAAATATGCATCTCTTTATTAATATTTAACAGCTCCATCCAATGAGCTAGCAATTCCACTTAATAGCATCAGAGACTTTAACATATATTAGTGGAGACGTAGTTCATTGTAAGGAAGTAGTCTCACTTCCAATCTATGCTGTGATACAAAGCAGAATGAAGCAAAGAATATGAAGCCTTCTCAGTACACAGAAATTGAAAGATCAAATTGAAATCTCAGCTAAAATTGTTCGGAATCAGATTTAAGTGATAAACAGTTGTAAATTCAAAAGATCATAACGAGAACATGGAAGGGATTGGAAGGAGAAAATGCAAGGGTGAAACAATGTAATTATGTTTTAATTCCAAGAAATTAAAAGCAGCATGATGAATGCAAATGTGACAGTATAATACATTGTATATAAAGAAAGTTCAAGGGCTGCAAATATTCTAACTTGTGTGTATAAGAAACAAAGCCCACAAACCTAAATTCAGGCTGTTGGTTGTTAGTGAATGAAGATGTTCCATGTCATCAAATCTGCCGTGCAGACCATTTCCTTCAGAGGAGGGTATGGGCGACTGGGAATCAAGGCCAAATGTTTCTTTCATCTTGAAAGGAAGAAAACAAGAAATTTGGCATGAGGAGAAGCAATAAGAACACCATAATGTTGTTCAAACCAGACAGCGAATACATGGAAAACCGGGGCTGCAAGCTGCTGCACACACCACACCCTCCAGGGGGTTATTCTGTCATGAGTTGCAACAAGTGCTGCATGAGCCCGGACAGACACCTAGATATTTAGTAAGAGTTTTGATTTTAAGCATGAACAAATGGGTATAAATGATCATATTCCAGAGCACACAACAAAAGACCTGGTTGTTAATCAAGTCAACTGGCGATGCACAGCACCCTAGATGTGTTCTTCTGACACCACGATGTCACTGCTACTTCTCAGCCTTTGCTCTGCTTCCCTAGCGCTCTTCTCTTGTTTGGTTGTTGTACTCATTTTTTGTTTTCCAGACAGGGTCTGACTGAGTGGCCCAGGCTGGCCTTGAACTCTCAGCCTTCCAACAGCTGGATGATAGGCACACACCAGATGCCTGTCATGTGGACTGGCCCAAAATAGAACTTACAGACTGACAAACAGTGCCCTTTCCTTCTGTCTTCCCTTCATGGGCACTCCTTTTACGGGTTTTTAAAGTTATATTGTTGGAGTGCTGAAACACTTGTGCCTTCCCCCAAAGTCTTATCTTAAATTAAACTGCTCAAGGGGGTTAAGTAGTGAGACACAGACTTTAAGCTGAAGGCAACTGAAATACAGCAGGTACAAAAGGATCACCTTGTTCCTTACAGAAAGACAGAATCAAAATCCCGTTGTGAAAGACATTCTCCCTGCAGGCAAAGGGAAAGCAACATCTTCCTCTTCAAGCATAAAATCAGAAGCCTTAAGCCTCCCCCTAACCCTAGGTTACACTTTCACGACTTAGTATTTCTTGGCAAGTACATATCTGAGTAACTGACTCCGTAGCTTCTTTGAGTCCTCCCTTATAGGGCTCCCATGCTATATGAACTTGTGAAGTAACCACGCATGCTTTTCTCTTGTTCATCTGTCTTAGTGCAATTTCATTTCAGGGCTCTGCAAGGTTGGAAACAGGATTTGTCTGCCCCCACAGCTCCCAAGTAGAGATGTTAGGAGGCAGGCCTCTAGCAAGGTGATCGGGTCATGGAAGTCAAGCCTTTATGAAGGAAATCTGTGACCTGGAAGAAAAGACCCAGTGAGAGACTTCTAGACAACCCCTTAATAGAAACTTCCACTTAGGAATCCTAAATTGAACCCTTCCCAAAGCATAAATGCTACTGACACCCTGATCTTAGGCCTCTCAGTCTTCTGAAGGTAAGAAATAAATTTCTCATGTTAATAAGCCACCCCAGTAAATGGTATGTCCATTATAGCAGCTCACAGACATAGATATAGAACATAAATTGTCATACATTTCTATGAGCATAAATTAAAAGTTTATGCTCACGATATAAATATATTTAATTAATTTAAGTGAACAGCATTTTTAAAGAAATGTTTTGTTTTACTTTTTGCATTCAGAGTCTAGCTCTATAAGCCTGGCTAGCCTCAGTTTGTAATCCTCCTGCCTCCAACTCCTGACTGTTGGAATTACAAAAGTGTACCACCATGCAGGGTACCACTGTTTTTTGTTTTTTGTTTTTTTTTATTGTTGGAGAATTTGATGGTTCAAAATAAAAATATAACATTTATATTTTCTAATGATCTATTGTCTATAGAATTATAATTATGTCAGACTTCAGTGGTAAAGAAGGCGTGCCGATTAACTGCTAGGCTAATTCCTGCCAGCTTTCCCAAACGAAACAAATCATGATCTCAGAGAAGGACATAGTCAGACGGTCAGTGGAGCTCACAGTGCAGCACACCGCTCAAATGTTACATGGGGGTGACAAGTAAGTAAGGCGTGACTACCTGTCTGACTGGAGTAAAAGCAACAACAACTCCAGAGAAGGGAACGGAGGAGATGGAGGGCAGTGCTTAAAAAGATGGCGTGCTTAAAAAGGAAAACAGTTTGCAATAGTTTGGGCTGACTGGGGTGTTTCATACTGTCAGTGGCAATTCTGCTGATAGTAACTGGTAAGCAAGAAAAATCACTCCAAATCTGGATTTCAGTAAAGCAGATATGAATTTTACTAGTTTAATTTAATTTTATGTATTTGGGTGCTTTGCCTACAGGTTTATGTGTGCACCTTGGTGCCTGCCTGATAGGTACTGAGACGGAACACAGGTCCGCTACAAAGGCAAGCAGTGCTCTGAACTGCTGAACTAGCTCTCCAGCCCTCAGTGAAGCAAACTGAGGTTAGATGGTTAGATCTTTAGAAAACTGAATTTTTTTTTTTTTTATAAATAAGAGAAAAAAGTGAATATACTGTCATTCTGGCAATAATCCTTGCCAGGCAAAAAAAAAAACCACAAACAAAAAAACAAGACCTTTAAAAAATGGGCAGAGGTTGCAATATAGGTTTTCCACAGAACATACTGGGTCAATGAGCACATAAAAAGATGCTTAACATTACTTAACACTAATTAATGAAATTCGTATCAGTGTCATAATGAGGTAGGTGTGGTGGTGCATGTCTGTAAGTATTGGGGTATAGAGCTGAGATTAAAGAAGTCTAAGGCAAGAGAATCTAGAATTTACAGCCAGCCAGAGTGCTGTTTTAAATCTGAAATATCTCTCAGGTCATATTTGAGGACTGTGAAACCTTAAGGAGGCAGGGCCTGGCTGACAGCAGCTGGCCACTAGGGAGGAGCCTCTGAGGGCTCCAGTCACCTCTGGCTCTAGCCTATGTTTTCTGTTCTCTGTTCACACCACCACTGAACAAACCTCTCCCACACAATCCTGCCACCAAGAACTGTTCCCACCATTGTGCCTTCCCTGCTATAATTAACAGGCAGAAATCTACTCGAAATCACGAGCTAAAGTAACCCTCTCTCCTTTAGGTTTTCTGTTGGGTGGCTATCCTCTCCCAGGAACAAGGCCGGTAACCACTGCACTGGCAGATGGGCGCACTTGCTATTTACAAGTACAAACTTTAAAAACTCAGGCAAACCAGCATTAACAAGGGTGTGGAGGAGCAGGACACTGAACACTGCACAGATAACTGCTCTGACAAAAAACTAACCCTAACCCATCTGATGGCATCAACATAAGATCAGAACCAGAGAATGAAGAATTCCAACACAGGCTTGGCTGACGGTGACAATGTCTAAGGTCCTTTTCAAGGTCTTTCTTTCCTATTGGTTTGTAAGTCAGGGTCTAGCTCAGCACTAACTTCAAATTTCCTACGCAGCAAAGGCTGATCCTGAACTCCTGATCCTCCTGCCTCCACTTCCCAAATGGTGGGATTACAAGCACCTAGCTCATACACCCCAAGTTCCTCCATGCTCAGCTACTGCCAACACATTCCTAAGGGTCACTTTCATTCACACCCATGCTCTACATGACCCACAAACACGCAGATTTCATTTACGATGTGGAGCATTTGTTAGCTCTGCAATCATTCAGACAGGGCACTTCTGACAGAATACTTGCCTAACAAGCATTTCCACTAATAGGCTGGGCCAACTCCTGTTTTAGGACTTCACAAACTTCATATTCAATAGACTGTAATTGTAATTTCTCTCTCTTAAAAACCTGCCTTAGAGTCCTTGAAAATGCTTACTGGTCACTGTGACCTGTGCACTCCCACAGTAATGCTGTCATTCCCAAATAAACACCAGGATCCTTTGGAGACTTTCCAATTGTGATTTAGGCTGGCAACCTAGGAGAACTGAAAACAAGATTTGAACAATATTCATAAACCAATACTTATAGCAACATTATCCATGAACAATAAGGGTAGAGGACTGGAGATATGGCTCTATTGATGGCTGGACTGATCAACCTGGCCTTTCCCTGATGCACAGAGAAGAAACATAGCTCCCTCTCTAAAAGCAAGAATATGATTGGCAAAACTGGTAATGGCCTGAGGCCAGGGCCTTGGGGAACTGTGGCTTCAGATCCCAAGAACCCAATCAACCTACCATATTTGGCTCTGGTTACCAGTCCCAAGATTGCTGTGTGCTCGGTTTATAATGCTCTTGAGATACCCTGTGTTGCCCTTGTGCAACAATGTTTAATTAGCTTCCTGCTGACTTAGTCCCATTGTATGGCAGACTGCTTTCTCTGTCCCATTTCTCCCCTAGAAATAGTATATACAGTGCTGTACTTAGAATAAACTACTTTGGCCTAAGATACAGCCTGTACAAGACCTCCCAGTTCCAGACTTCTTATCTTCTCTATCTTCTATCATTATCTTCTGATCTCATGGTCCTCTCTCAGGACCCTATCACTGAAGAACAACCTGATGGTCCCGGTCATGGCTCGGTAGCTAAAAGCACTCACAGCTCTTATAGGGGACCCGGGTTCAGTACCCAACACCTACATGGAAAGCCAAAATGTGGCACATGTGAGAACATTCTCAGAAACTGTGAGTTGCTACAGAGATGACTTTCAGCTAAAGATGTCACCTATTTTGAACTTTCCTCACATGGCTGAAAGCAGCAGTTTTGGCTAGCCGGCAACAGATGCCTATGAGCTCAGCACCTGAGAACCAGAGGCAAGTTGATGTCAAGGCTAACAGTCCGATCTACACAGTAAGACCCCATCTCAAAAAACACAAAGGCAGGAGGAGGGGAGTGGCAAGAGGCCACTTGTGGGAAACAAGCCGTTACATGTTATGGCAGCTGGGTCTACTCCCAGAAATAACAGTAGGCCTAATCCACATGCATACCTGAGGATGGCAGCACCTCAGACACCTAAAGAAAGAAACGCTGCCACAAATTTTCGCATCTCAGGATTGTCCCCTAAATGTTCATTTATGTTTCCTAAACACACCTATTGGTTCTTCCCACAGAAACCCTTTCTTGTTCTCTGCTAACGTCTTCTCTCACTTTAACTGATAGTCTCCTAGGTTGGACCTAAAACGGGCAAAAGGAAATATTTCCCATTGAGACATACAGGGTAAATTATTCTGCCTTAACAAGGATGTCTGACACACACCGACATGAACGAACCTGGAAGAGCTTATGCTAATTAAAATAAATCAGACATATAATGATAATGTTCACAACTTCCCTTCTATGAAGAGTCAATTCCTAAACAGAAGACAGAATTTCAGTTAGTGCCAGGTGGGGACGGGCAGGGGGAAGGCACTCATTGCTCCGTGGTCTCAGGGTTTACATAAAGGAAGATGGGGTCCTGGGATGGACAGAGATGGTGGTCACACAACAGTGTAACTGTATTTAATGCCAACAAACTAGATGCCAAAAAAGTACATAATACAGACATTAACACAATTTTGGCAGGGGTTGGGGGCAGATCCAGGAACTTTCATGGTTCACCTTTTAACTAAAATAATAATATGTGGGTAGTGGAGGAGGATCATTGGTTGAACTTCTTGGGTATTATTTGTATATCACAAACACAGCCTTCCAAAGACAGAAGCAGCAATGTTCCTCTACACTTTTGAGGGCAGCCCCTAAATAGGTGCTGGGAACTACATGTTCTTAAGTCATCTGAATATAGTTTTAAATCCTTTCAGGGATTATGATATCTCATACATGTTAATATCATAGGTTAAATACCTTAGTTTAATCCTAAATCTGAAATTTTTAAGCACCAACATTACACAGGTGGAAAATTCCATTATGTGACTTCATATGACAAAATACAGGTCACTAAAAATATTGTACAAAGCCACGTTTACTTTTGTACAAAGTATTTATAACTTTCAGGCTATACACGCACATATGAAACCAACAAATTCTGGTTTGGGACTTAGTTCTCACTCCTAACATATTTCATTGTATATTGCAAATCCTCCAAAGTCTGTACCACTTCTGGTACCAAGGATTTCAGATCAGGGAGACTCAACCCAAACTGGATCATGGGTTACATGATTAAGTTATGGTTCCAGAGGTCCATCAGTACTGAGAAGCAAATAAAGGTCCAAGCCTACCCTGCCATCACTGTAGAAGGGAGTTAATGCCAAGTGAGAACATGGGATAATTTGAAGAAAATCAAGTGGTATTTGTTCAGAATATATGAGAGTTGAAACAATATTCATCAATATGTCCTATAACATTAAATCATATAATTCAACGTGAGAAGAGGCAAAAATTTAACATTTTGCAGATTTTGAAATATCAATGGTTAAGTGTAAATACTATGAACACATATTTGGCTATTTTAATCTACAACCTTAACAGTTTATGTGTGAAAATGGACCAGTACTTCAGGCTGATTTTTATTTGGAGGTCTAAGTTATTCTTTCTATATAAGAAAATGGTCATAACAAGCAAGAATGACTGAATTAGGAAGAGAAACAAGACGGAAGTAAGGCACTGGGCTTGTTTCAACGAGGCTGTCCCAGTGGCTCAGATGTTTGAGTACTCAATCCCTTTTTGGTAGTGCTGTCTGGGTGGGCTTAGGACTTGTAGCCTTGCTGAGGGAGAGCTTTGAGGTTTCAAAGCCGGGTGCCATTCCCAGTGCGCTCTCTCTCTTCAAGTCTAAGATCTGAGCCCTCAGTTTTCTAGTCAGATGGGTCTGGGCTGTGTAGGAAAGCTAACTGAGTCTGAGCCAGAGAGCAAGCCAGTAAGCACAGTAAGTATTTCTGCTTCAGTTCTTGCTTGAGTTCCTGCCTTGACTTCCCTCAATGATGGATTGTGACCTGGAAGTATAAGCAGAAACAAACTTTTCCTGCCCCAGGCTGATTTTGGTCAGTGTGTTTTATCACAGCAGCCAAAAGCAAACTAACAAGTACAAATTAAAGAACTGCCGTACCTCAAACAAGCTACCTAAAAATGAAGATGATATACTTGGAAGTGTTGAATGATCTGAAAGTGATTGCTGTGAACAGAGAGACAGACATTAAATATGCACTGAAATAATTTGTATGAAATTATAATTAAAGGCACATATATGCAAAAATTAGCCTGATATATCTTTTAAGATATGAATGTTTGACTAATGTATTGAGTAAATATTCTGAATATCTATTTTTTGTATTTCATCTCTCGCCCTAAAAGTTTAAGAAGCAAAATGAACCAATATTTCTAATTGTCTTTTATTTAGATGAGTAAAATTTTTCTTTTTATGGGAAAAAGCAGCCACAGCAAGAATGTGTGCACCTCTTCAGTAATCTCTAATTCTAGTATGCTTATGTAAGTGAATATTCAGTATGAAACTGAGCACTTAGGACCCAGGGAAGGGCTGGCAAAGAGAGAAAGCCATTGTCACTGGAGTACACCAGGCAACCGTGGGGCACTATTTCCCACATCCAAGATCATTCACAAATGACAAACATCCATTCCCTGGTAGGCTGCCGAGAACCCTCTGCTGAGGGGAATCCTTGAGGCTTCATCAATACAGCTAGGACAGCACCAGCAGAGGGACCCACAGGATGTGCAGGAGGGAAAGAGATGTAATGTCCAAGGAAGACAAAGGAGAAGGCCCAACTTCCGATTGCTTTGCTCATCATGCAGAAAGGGATCAGACTGCGCACAGGGAGCAGGGGTCTGTGTGTGAGCACAATACCAGCATAACTTTAAAAGATACCCTCTAGGGCAGGCAAGGTGGCTCAGTGGTTAAGAGCACTTGCTAACCTTGCAGAGGATCCTGGTTTGATTCCCAGAGTCCATATGGCAGCTCACAAGCATCTGTAACTCCAATTTCATGGGATCTGACATCCTGTTCTAGCCTCTCCAGATACCAGTCATGGACATGGTGCATATACACACATACAGGCAACATACCTATACACATAATAAAACTAAAACCGAACTGAAATAAATAAATAAATAAAAACACCATCTATACTAACTTTCTTCTCATTGGTCTGAAATTAATTCAGGCCAGAAAATAAACAAATTTAAAAAAACATTAAAAAATTCAACAGGCAACTAATTAACTATAATTTTATTTAAAAATCAAGTTTACTGGTAATTTAATAGTAAGGATAAACCTGTTAAAAGGTAATGCTTCCTGCTAAGTTATAAATAGGCACAAATCTCAAATCTCTCTGGCACATACAGATGAAGCATCACATATAAGCAGGGAGAATGCTGTGAACAGCAAAGATAAAAGCATAATACACTTTGTGTAAATTTTGCCTTGATTTGCCCTGACATACATACTACACAAGAAACACACAACCACATTTCCCTAAGGGAATTTAAAAGAAAATCTTAATGATTAAAAGGACTCTTTATTGAACTGAGGAATTAGAAGAAAAATATCACACACACAAAGCATAGTGGAAAAAACCCACTCAACCAGCAAGGTAAGCACAGCTCCCAGATTCCAGAGAAGTGGTGTGACATGAAAAGGATGATTTCATGTGCACAGCCATGCTCCTGGCAATGCATCTTGTAAGCCATCCTAACTGTGAAAAGCCCATCTTGTTTCTGCTTTGTCTGTGGGAGTAACATGAGCGAGGGAGGGCCAGAGCGGGGAGGAGATAGAGGCTGTGTAGCAAAGCCGTACCATGTCTGTAGTGCTGTAGCTATACTGCTGCATCTCCTGGGAATATACACTCCTCATGGACTCTGCATCATCGCCTCCTGAGAGGTTAGTAGGCAGCCACTGTGTGCCAACCTGGAGTTCCTGCCTAGGAGGTGCATGTGTGGCCTCCTGAATGTGCGGTGGTGGGTGTAACTCCATGGCCCGGAGGTGATCTTGATAGAGTTCATATTCCTCATCAACAAGCATCTCTCTTTCCTCACCCGCTCCCTCCAGGGGAGAGCTCAGAAATTCATGCATTTCCCAGGCTTCTGAACTGGTATCAATTTCTTTTTGTTGGAACTGCAAAGACTTTCCCAAATCTAGAAATGGTTCATCCACAAGTTCTTCAAGATACGGCTCATCTCTAAATCCCTGTAAAATAGAAGTTTTTAAAAAATGTTAAGTTCTACTTGTCTTAAATCTGCACTATACACCTCAACCTGAAAAAGTGCCCATCTAACTGCAGTACACTGCCTGAGTCAACACATGATCAGAGTCAGCTGCGCGTCTGTGTCACCAAACAAAAAGAAGCTGCAGCTCATTCTGCATGGCCCAGAAATTGGACATGGAGTAAAGAGGTGGAAGCCTGCCATTGCCAAGGTGAACTGAAAGCTCCATCATATAATAACTACCCGACAATTCTCCATCACCATGGTTAAAATACTGCACCATCAACTCATCCCTAACATAAAATGTAGTTCATAAATGCAAAGTCATTTCATACTTAAGACAGTAAAGTCTGAAAAGCTCAGTGTGGTCAAGCCTGAGTAACTAAAAAGAAGTCAAGGCTATCTGAATGTTCAGAACACTTTCTCTTTTATTTTTTTGTAGGGTTGGGGATTGAACCTAAGGCCTTGCACATGCCAGGCAACATTCTAGTGCTAAGCTATACCTCTAGTCCTTAAAAAACAAAACAAAATAATAATAATAATAATAATAATAATAATAATAACCTTCATAAATTAAAGACATAGCTATATCCCTCAAGTACTTTGAGTATAATTTACTTTTAATTACCCTTATAACAGAAACAAGATTTTTACCTACACTGAGAATATGATAAAGAGGAATGAACACAGTGTAGTTTTTGCTGAACTGCTGTCCTAACTCTGGGGAGCCTGTAGCTCTTGAGCACAGAGGCCCGATCCCCTGCAGATCAGCACTCATCCCTATTGTAAGACCCATCCATTAAGCACTACCCAGTGTGAATTCCTACAATCAACCTGCGCCCCTGCCTTCTTCTTATAACCCAACAACACCACGTGGCAAAGCTTCACATTGAATTAGTGAACCAATACTGCAACTTGATTCAAAACAGTCAGAGTCAGAGGATATATTTGAAAATTTACAATTATAAAATTTTAACACAAAGTGTCTAAACTTTTAAAAGTGTGATGGGCATTATGGGAATGCCTATCAGTCTGAGACAGTGTACATATATGTCAGGAATGTTACTAAACAATTGTTATCAAGCAAAACAAAGAATACATAGACTTTAGGGATAGAAGGAAAGCTCAGTATATACTGTCTATGATTACAGTATCAAAGGGGTTTGAGTAGACAGTCTTCTTTGGAAAGTATTCAATTATGAAATTGCTCCATTTTCTATAGAATTTTACATGATGTCTGTTTTCAATGATATATTCTTTCTCCCAAATTTGAGGTTTATAGGAGGGCTTCGAAAGGTTTGTTCTTTTAAACATATGTTTACATTGATTGATTAATTTGGGGTGGAGGGAGGTATGTGCTCAGCACATGTGTGGAGGTCAGAGGACAACTTGTAGAGTCAGCCTTCTCCTTCCACCTTGTAGGTTCCAAGGACTGAGCTCCTGTCCGGCATGGTGGCAAGTGCCGGAACTGAGGCACTTACAGTGTTTATCTTTAGAATATGTCCACATCTTCTGTCACTTAAAGAGACAATGTAAGACTAAATGAAAAAATTTAATTGAAAAAAATACTAATTAAAGAGAAGGAAGCTGGTAGGACATACCTGTGATTACAGAGGTGGGGGTAGTATTTGATTTGTAACTGTTTAGCTGAGTGAGTGGGGACAAGTTTGTGTCTTTATAGTAACTTTAACTTACCAAAAAAATCATTCAAATGGCAAATAATTTGATAAACATTTATCAAATACCTTGGGTGCCTCAAGGATTAAAGATGAATGTATGTCATGAACAGTTTCTGAAGGCTCACTGTTGTCTTCATTGTTGCTTGAATGTAAAATAAAACAACTTTCTTCCTTCTCATCTTCCTGAAAATAAAAACCAATTTATGATGAAGAAAATCCTTCAGTTTCAACTTCGATAGTTCTCATCCAGTGCAATCACTCAACAAAGTCTATGCAAATATGAACAAAGCAAACTTTTACCCACAATGGAAAGAAAATGAACCTTAGGCCAGAACTGATCAACTTTAAGTATTCTTTAAAGAAAAACCAGTCACCCAGAAAAAGGCCTTGCAGATACAGCTATGATGTGATCTCTGCACCAAGCATACGCTTACGTACTTTAACATTCCCGAGATAGTCATTAACAGGCACTCTAAGAAGAGGGTGCCTTATTGACGAGGAAAGGGCTCAATCAGTACTAGTCACTCAATAGTTACATGTCCAGAATCTGACTCCAGAACCTGTGTTCTCAATTACCACTCCATGTAACCCCTATTTTACAGCTCAGCAAGGTTGGTGGTCGGGGGGAAAAGGCCTCATGGTGCACAACCTTAGAACCACAGAGTAAGCCATAGCTCTACAGCCAAGGGCCAGTGTGGTCTGCCTAAAGCTAAAGACACAGTGTAGTTTGTAAAGACAATTCATTGTTTTTTGAATCGAGTATGTTTGAGGTAAGTTTGCAGAGGAAAAGATAAATTACTATCATGGATAAGATGAAAATATATCATTGTAGCTCTATCAGGATAGTTATTATATGGCTTAAAACTACAGAAGTAATTCTGCTCTGTTACATATCTATACTCTTTCTGCTCCAGCCTGACTTTGGCTCTTCTCATCTATATTCTTCCTGCCTCCACACAGGCATATACCACCCTGCCCTCTTTATTCAGAGTGCTCCACCATCCCAGTCACTTTCCCCTGTCTTGGCCTCCCATCCCTAACTACCCTAGCAGCCTCAGACTCTGAGGAAGAACTGTGAGCCAAGTTCCAGCTCTCAGTGAGGCTCCAAACCCTCTCTGGGCCGTGCTCTAGGGTTCGTCTCTGCAGCACTTCCTCAGCAGGAAGCAGCACAGCAAGTGTACTCTGTGGGTCACACTGCCTCAGACTTCCTAAAACTGCTCAAGGGAAAGGCTAGGTTGCTTCCATCCTACAGGGCACACGTGGTTAAAGATTTTCCCATGCAGCCATGATAATCTAGCTAATAATTATCAGAGAAAATACAGACAAAATACTTGCCACAAAAAAAGATGAAACTCATAAAAATATGAATGTTTTCCCTCCTTAATTGATATAAAACTACAAGGGTACTTCATCTTACCATCTGTTGCCTATGGCAGTACATTTCATATCTGAAAAAGTCAAGAACCTGGTTAGCCATATACTAGACTTAATTCTCAATGATTTAAAGTAACTGGTGAGTGTTATATTCAGACATTCTGGTGTGTACTTCTATAGAATAAAAAATAGATAAAGATGGGTATGTGCCTAGCATAGGATGGCCCTGGAATCAATCCCCAAAAATGTAAAAAGCAGTCCAAAGGCCACACAGGGGGTTCCTAATGCAAAAACACTTAGTGCAGTACATTGTTCAACACACACACACACACACACACACACACACACACACACACACACACACACAAGCCAGTGAGGTGTCTGAACTACTATCATGTAGCATGCTAATATATTTCACATAGTAAAAGAATTTTAGAGTCAAGAAAAGACTTTACTTCTTGATGTTCACTGCATTAAACATTCTTATAAAAGATTCATAGAATAAAACTGGTCTACTTTATCACCATTTGTGAAATGAAAAACTACATCAGAACTACATAGGTGAGCAACTGGGAGGGAGACTGTGAAGGACTCAGGTCTCCATCTAAATAAACATCTCCCACTGGACACTGATAAGGCTTTTGAACCTTTAGGTCTGAAACTCACTGGGTTATTCAGGGCAAAGCTAAAAATGGGCTTCCCGAAACTCATTCTGACAACTTACCACAACCAAATGACTGTTAGGATACATGCACATAAACTAAACAGGACATCACAATAGAGCAAGATTACACAGTAGTGTGGCTAACAAAGGGTACAAGGCTTGAAACTGTCCAATCAAGCTCATATTTTGACCCCCACCCCTCACTAATTATAAAGCTCTAGAGAAAACTCTGTGTCTCATTTGTAACGAGAAGGACAAGAGGGGGACTCTTAACCTTGCTTTGAAGATAACATTAATTAATATATGTGATAGGCTTAAAATACGTAGTGATGTACATAATAAATGCTCATTTAAAACTAGATGAAAATAATCAAGTATTTGTTTTACACTGAGAACCTCAACAACATAATTTTAAGGAAGCACAGTCAAGAACAGTCATAGGACATAGTACATCAAACCATAAGACAACCTGAAGTCAGCTTGACTCCACAACAGTTGTCAGCAGTACGGCCACCAGACATGCTGATGACAGACGATGACAGGAACGTAGAAAAATGCCATTCCCATATGGACAAAAATACTATGGTTCATGAATTTCAGCTCACTGTGAGCTAACATTCTAAAATAGTAGTTCCTAACCTGTGGGTTGTGACCCCTTTAGGGTCAAACGACTCTTTCACAGAGATCACATATCAGATATCCTGCATATCAGATATTTACATTATGATTCATAACTATAGCAAAATTACAGTTGTGAAGTAGCAAAAATAATTTATGGCTAGGGGTCACCATAACATAAGGAATTGTGTTAAATGGTCACAGCACTGGGAAGGTTAAAAAGGACTGCTCTAAAATTAAAATGCAAAATTATTTAATTTACATATAAGAAATATGAATAGAACTTGGGAGTCTGTTTTAGAAACCTGTATGGTAGTACAAGTGGCAGAACCAAGGCTAGAAACGCCAGTAGTGAGCAATCACTCAGTGTGTCACATCTGATGACGTGGCCTTTATTCCTGAAACTTGCTCTGATGTTGTAAGTCAAGGACATTAAGAAACTTGCTTGCTGCTTACTGCTCTTTCAGAACAACGGAGTCTGATTCCCAGAGCCCACACAGGGTGGTTTACAAGCACCTCTAACTACAGCTCCAGGGATTCTGATGCCCTCTTTTGGCCTCTTTGGGCACTGCACTCATAGGCAAAAACCTATACACTTAAATAAAATAAATCTGAGTTAAAAAAGAAAAAAAAAAAAAGAAAAAGAAAGGGGGCTGTAAAGATGACTCAGAGGTTAAGAGCACTAGCTGCTCTTCCAGAGGTCCTGAGTTCAGTTCCCAGCACCCACATGGTGGCTCACAACCATCTGTAATGAGATCTGGTGCCCTCTTCTAAATAAATAAACAACCATCCGTAGTGAGATCTGACACCCTCTTCTAAATAAATAAATAAATAATAAATCTTAAAAAAATAAATAAAAAGAAAGGAAAGAAACTTGCAAAGGGTCAAACACATGGGAAGCAGTGTGGGACAGATTCTGAGTTTAGATGTATTGTTTCCCTGACCCATGTTCTTTACTGTACTAGTTCTATTTCCTTTATTAACACAATTCAAGCCTTACAGGTGAGGCATATTTGTCTTCCAAATTCATGTTGATAACTATTGCACTGTTATCACTTCCTATATTAACTGAGTTCAGAACTTACCACCAAAGGCTTACAGATGCCCAGGTGCACAGCACCTGGGGGCACAGCCTTCAACACTTCGACAGCCTCAGCAAGTGTGGCATTGTCCAGAGAGAACTCATTGACCGAGACTAGGCGATCTCCAGGTAAAAGTTCTCCACTTCTTTCTGCTACACCATCTGCTACCAAGGAGCGAATCACAATCACCGACCTTGTGGGATCCAAGGGGTCCTACAAATTAAATGAAAGAAAGTCAGATCCCTGAAAATAACTATGTAGGCTGAAGAAAGCTTATCTTTAACAAATCTGATTTGTTTATCCAACACGGCCAGCACTCTGTTGACACTCTATAGAGGTTTAAATCAATGAAAACATCATTCTATATATCTTACAGTATCAGCTTATATCAAGGTGAAAATATAAACTTAACAGTTTCATCTGCATGACTGAGTACTCAATACATGTAAATTTGTCCTTTAAACATTTGGTGACTGACTACAAGAGATCTGAGAAGAGTTAGGCCAAGATTCTGACACTTTCAAGCCATAATTATACTGTGGGACAAAAACATGGCCATGACTCCCTTTGGTCCCTATGTAGGCTCTAAGAGGAGCATTAAGGTAGGAAACAACACTCCATCATTCAGCTGAGCAAATACAGCATCCTTCTAGGAAACCACATAAGCTCAAAAGGAGAGAGAGAGAGACAGAGAGACAGAAAGAGACAGAGACAGAGAGAGAGACAGACAGAGAGACAGACAGAGAGAGACAGAGAGAGACAGAGAGACAGAAAGAGACAGAGACAGAGAGAGAGAGAGAGAGAGAGACAGAGAGAGACAGAGAGAGAGAGAGACAGAGAGACAGAAAGAGACAGAGACAGAGAGAGAGACAGAGAGAGAGACAGACAGAGAGAGAGACAGAGAGAGATCATTTTTAAAGTGTATTTAGGAACTGGAGAGATGAGTCAGCAGCTAAAAACACTTACTCCAAAATCACAGGAAACAGGGTTTCAATTCCGGTACTTACATAGTAAGTTGGATGTTGCTGTAAATACCTATAACCCTAACTCCAAATGGGGCAGACACAGGAGAATTGCTAGGCTTTTCTGGCTTCTAGCCTATTGAAGAAAAGAGTAGCCCAAGAATCAAAGAAAGGCCCTGCCTCAAAGACAGACAGGAATGATAGAGGAAGGCACCTGGCATCCTCTTCTAGCCTCTGAAGTGTGCAAAGGTGCATGCTCCTTACCCTACACGTATACTCATATAGACACACACACCCCCCACAAACAGTGGTAAAGAGTTTTCCTGGCATGAAAGTAGCTTCAACACACCAGCAACACACATACATGGAAGTGCTTACAGTACATGTTTTAAAAATAATCAAAATTATGACAATTTAGTGGCCTGACCAGACTGATTCCAATGCACATAAAGGGAATTCATGAGCAAGGCAATATGAGGATTTCTCATCCAGTGGGAGAGCACTGTATTATTTTATTTGAGCACAGAAGATAGTGGACATATCAATGCATCTGCTTGAGGAATACCACTCTGTAGAACAACTAATCTGGAACTCAAAGTAATCCTCTTGCCTCAGGTGAGCTACCATATCATGCTTACTGTCTGAATCTGACAGATGACAGAAAGTGATACTGAGAAAATTAAGGAAACTGGACACCACTAGCCGCCGTTAGGGGTAGAGCCAGACTTCAGCTGGGCAGTCCTTACTCCTGACCACCAAGCTCTGCTGTTTTCTCTGCATCATGGTAACTGTCAGGAAGAACTCTGAATGGTGGAATGCAACCCTGCTGCTGATATCCTACGGCCCAGTAGAGCTCTGTTGGTATTGCTGGTGTGGGTATGTGATGTGGCATTGTTGCCAAGCCTTCTTCATTAACGAGTTACAGCATATTTGCTCCTGCTGCTTCGTCTTGCAGGTACCATTCTACATAGGCCCTGGTAGCAGAACAGGGTTCTATTGCTGCTGCTTCTATTGAATTCTTCCTGAGAGGAGGGGGAGAAAGGAGCTGCGAGATTTTGTCGTACAACTGTAAGACTAAATTAACAAAGCGAAAATTTGTCAAAATGCAGGCTGTATCTGTGAGAAGTGCTGGTGGCTCTTTTGGAGATTTCTGGTTCTGTTTTCCACACCTTAGTGCTTTAGACAGCAACATCCTTTTTAAAGCACTGCACAGAATTGTAACAAAGTATACATATTGATATCAACAAAGGCTATATAGCTAAATCTTTAAAGAATGCTTTCAAATACAATTCTTGCTTTTTTTTTTCTCAATTGACCTTGTCTGTCTCCCAAGGGACCAGACCCTTGACATAATCTAATATTTAACACCACATATTCACCAAGAGAACTAAAATAAAGAAACAAACCAAAACCAAGGGATTTTACTAATAAGGTATGTAGTGTTAAACTATATTAACACTGATAATTTCAAGTAGAGGGAGCTATTGTATAGGAAGAGAGCAGAGATACTCAAAAACCCAGTGTGTATCCACAGGTAATCAGAGCAGCAATAAGGAAGAGTTGTCCAACCTTGTTACCAGCAACCATGAATCATAACATGCTTTCATTTTGAAATATGAAACCATTACATTTTAAGTTTGACACACTAATAAATAAGCTATACAATTATGTCCTTCATTTAGGAAGTCAGTTTTTGTCAACCAGGGTTTTTTATTGGGATGGGAGGGAAACTACATGAAATGCACAGGAGGAAGCTGGCATTGTCTCCTATTAATGATCACTAAACATTATTAGAAAGACTCTAACAGTAGAATATACCAAAAGTAAATGACTTTTCTAAGTGCATTGTGGATACTTGATACCATTTCATATAACACTGTATCAGAAACTTGAACAGGTGAATGAGTATCTTCTAATTGTAGCTGACAGAAACAATTCTTAGAAAAATTATCATTATATAATGAGGAAGATTCATTAAGAAACAATGAAAATAGTTCTGCTATGGAAAGATAATTAATTTCATTTATTACAGCAAAGTCATGTGAATATTTATTTACATGGAACATAGTCTCCTTTAGAACACAAATTAGTGCCAGGTGCACTTGCTTACTAAAATATTAAGACTTGGTGTCATAGTTATTCAAAACATCTTACCCCTTTTTCGTGGAGGCTAGAACCCAGAGATAGCTTCTTTGTGGCTGATAGAAAGAAAAATTAAGTGTGGGTGCACATACACACACACACATCATTGTGAAGATGCCTATCGTGCTTAATTGCTACTGTGCTTCTGGGGATGATGTTCCTGACTGTGTGGGTTCCCACATCCTATAATAAGCAAGTGATATCTGCATGACCATCAAGGTAGCAGCTGCTTTTGCCCGCTGGGATGGCTGCATTGTGAGGCTTTGCTGCCTGAAAAGTGTTTAAACACCTTCCTGACCCAGGCTGCTTCTCTACATGTCCACTTTCTGAAAACAGTCCATAATATCATACAAAGATGGTAAAGATATTTCTCAATATTGCCAGTGAACCTTGAGGCCTTGCAAGCATACTTTAACGTTCTCATCATCACCTGTCACCATAATTGTGTGTGTGTGTGTGTGTGTGTGTGTGTGTGTGTGTGTGTGTGTGTGTGTGTGAGGGGGCACCACAGTATCAGAGGACAACTTGCTGGAGTTGGTTCTCTCCTACTCAGGTCACCATGCTCAGCAGCATGTGCCTTTGCCCACTAATCATCCCTCATGTTTCCCCTTTTGATAAAGAAAACTGAGATGTTGCCTTAGAGCGAACAGCCAAGAGAGGGCACTAAAGACCAATCGTAGAGTGCAAGAAACACTTGTCTTGGTTAGAAAATTTCTATTTATTCAAAACTGCTGTGCCATTATATCTTCTAAAATATGTGCTCCATATATTTATTTTAATTCAACCATTTATGGAAAGGATGTTTCATGAGAGGGTTAAGCTTTTTAAAAGACAGATTTCCTGTAATCAACTAAGAACAGCAAATGTTCAGGGTACACCACACAGAAGCCAGCAGAAGAGTATGCATTCTACACTCACCACTCAGCTAAGGAGCCCTGGTCAGTCAGCTCTGTCTCACAAGCCAATTAAGTCACCTGTCTGAAAAAAGGTCATCAAGGAAAATGTAAAACTCTTAAGGTGATGCTAGGATTTGCAATTTATTGTAAATACTGAATTTTGCAATGTTTGGGAAATCCAGCCCCAAGTGGAGACAGCACACACACAAGCATGCACTTGCCCTCCTGCCCTTGCCCTAAGATGCACATTTCACAAGTCAATCTATTATCTTCCATCTCTTCTATCACCCCTCCCTCTCCTCTGCCACCCCACTGCAGTGTTTAGTCTCACACTATTTCAACTGCCTGGATAGATGCTACAATCTACACCATGCCTACAGGCTCAAATTTCATCCTGATCAGTACACTTACTACAGAAAGAATGGAAACTAAAAAAAATAAAATGAGAGGTTGGAGATTTAGCTCAGTGGTAGAGCGGCCCTAGGTTTGGTCCCCAGTTCCGAAAATAGATAGATAGACAAACAAACAAACAAACAAACAAACAAATAAAATGAAGATGTCTGTAAGAGCCAAAGGTCAGGAAGGAGCAGACTAACCAATGTCTTCTGCACTCATGAACTCATAGAGAAAGGAAGGGCTCACAAGCTTCCTCCCACATCAAAGGAACTACTGACTGCTGATGACTTCTGGGAGGAAATCAGTTTTCTCTAAGGGTGAGGCCGCTGTGGACAGCCCTACACTCATTAGTGTGGGCAGCACAAATGGAACTTGATGGGCCATTAAAAGGAGAAAGGAAACTGAGGCAGGAGGGAGGCAGAAAGGATCTGGAAGGAATTAGGGGTATATTGTTAGAAAATGCTTTATGTATATTTCTAATTGTACCGTTCATTTAACAATGTAATGCAATTTTCTGATCCTTGAATGTTATTATTACCAACTATTAGGATATAAAGAAATGAAGGTTAGTAGTTAGACATTACAATAGAACTTGTAGTCATATTAGATATGTTTTAAAAATTGAGCAGATATATTTTAGACAGGTCATCTTCAAACCCTTCAGAGATCTACAGAATATGGCATTTAAAATGTTTTAATAACTTAGAAAATTTTTCCTTTTTGAGACATGTTGGCTCCTGGCAGTACCAATCTACTTCAGAGAAAATATGGGCATTGAAGAAACTGTGTATGGAGTTAACTTTCATTGTGGCAAAAG